GATGCTGGAAGGGAACGACCCAATGGGTAAAGGCCTATTTGTCTGGAGTGGGGGAGCGAGGGATGAATGATACTTTTTTTTTTTGCTGTACATCTGTTTTTTTCACAGTTACGAATCACCACTCTAATAATAGCAGAGCATGTTAAAATAGGAAAGCACGTTGTTCGAAATGTTATTTTCAGTCCAGCTCTATGTCTTAAAAGAAAGCAAACCATCTTGTTTGCCTTCTGCAGAAAGGCCATTTCCGGCGTGGGTGGCTGAGAGAGTATCTGCTTCTAAAACAAATCAGCAACAGCTGAGGCTCACACCTGCCCTCTCTCCCACCGGGAGAACAATGGACTTTCATCAGATACTGGCACTGTGCCAGGACTGAAGGATATTTGATAAAGTAGTTGGCAGGATTTAGTTGGCAGGATTTCTCCAACTCAAAGCTAATGGAAGGCTCTCGAGAACTGGAAGAATCTGGGCCGGATAGATTTGGTAAAACTACATTTGGTTGACCAGTTATACAAACCCGTGACTGTATGGAAGGGTTATTTGACCTCATTTTCAAAGCTAAGGGACTTGGATGGGTCTCAGGGCATATTGGCTTATCTGTCGGATGATAGGATTGGACACGGGGCGTTTCTCTCAGAGCCAGCTCATTCGAGAGCACGTTTGGGTCATCACGGGAGCATCATCTACTTCTGCTTCCGGCTCATTGTTCCGGAAGTTGCTTCTGGGTTAGCATGCAGGTCTGTGTGGTCTCTGTGTGTTGCTACCACGGTGCACCGTGGCCGGGACTGAAAGGTGTAGAAGGCCAGGGTACAACCCATTCACCACATCTTCAGAGACTTGCAGAATAGATTTTGGATTTAGGCGTGGCTTTCTAAGCAAGGGAATGTGACGACAGAGGGCTACATCATTGATTTTTCTCAGTATAGGAACCTCATACTAGATGATGCAGGAAAGTCCCTCAGAAACAAAGTCAAAGAAATAAAGAGTGCGTTTGTAATCAAAACCGTCTACCTCCCAACGTTGGGTTTATCATGTTTGCTGCAGAAAGGAAGACCATGTCTCAGTAGGGGAGTGGGGAGTGAGGGCTCTGGAATTATGGAAAGTGGGAGGGACAGACACGCATCAGTTCAGTTCTGATGGAGCACATTAAAGGCCCTCCCGTTGATCGTCGGTTTGCTTGAGCGTGCCCAGTAACGTCTCCATTGGAGACTTTGTTGTTACTGTGTCTGGCATATCGAATACGTCATGGGGAGCTTGCCAGGCTCTACCGTGCGGGCGAGATACTCTCGGTAGCTTGCCGGGCTGTCCGAGAGGGGCAGAGGAATCGAACTCGGGTCGGCCATTTGGCTGCGTGCAAGGCAAATGCCCTACCGCTGTGCTATCGCTCCAGCCCATGTTTGGATATGTCAGTCGTTAGTCACTGAGAAGAATTATGAGATTCAAGTTGTCATTGGTAAGAGGTCAGCAATTGCGCAGAATGGAGCAAGGCTCCTGGGTGGGGTCTATGGCGTCTAATAATTTTTATGCTCGTGTGCGTGTGAGTGTAACTTTCATGCTCACACAGTGGCCTTGCCAATGTTTGGAGTATTTGGTGCTGATGGGAATTTGGTTCGTATTTCAGCAAAGGTGCATGATTATTGTCAGGGTAGTTTTCCTCTCTCCATGACCCGCTTTGAAATCAATATCACTCAGTGGATATTTAAATACTCTCAAGTCCAAGTGTTCTTTTTACTTCCTTGTGGATGTTATTGTGGTTCTTCCCAGCTCTTCCAACTCCATTAGAGATAAGGAGCTGGAGGGTTGGAGAGGTGTCGGGACTTGCCGGGCACTGCAGCTGGTAAAGTCAATAGGACAGTGGCAGCACCCAGTTTAATTTCTCCTCCGCTGTCACGCAAGAGTCCTAGTTCTGAAAGATGCTTTCTGGGCACGGCCACTGAATACCTCCCCGCCTCGCACCCACCTGGTCTCTAAAGATACACTTGCGATGAGATAGATAATCAAGTCCAGAGTCTCCCTGGGGTGATAAAGAGATGATTCACTTCTGCCAAGTAAGTAGAATAAGGGAACTCCTATGTGCTGTGGGTGCTCATAAACCTTGAACCGTGGTTTCAGGCAACATGGGCTTACTCTCTCTTGGTCAGGGGGTCAGAAGTAGGAGGTGGGCTTTACTCTTAGATGCCAGGGGATTGGCAGGGCTGTGTTCCTATGAGGAGACTCCTGCTTGCGAGGAAACACCCTGCAGACACTTTTCCTGGTCTTTCCAATTTCTAGAGACAGTCTACTTTCTTTTTATTTTCTTTCTTCTTCTTCTTGGGTCCACCCGGCGATGCACGGGGTCACTCGTGGCTCATGCACTCAGGAATTACTCCTGGTGGTGCTCAGGGGACTATATGGGATGCTGGAAATCAAACCCAGGTTGGCCATGTGCAAGGCAAATGCCCTACCTGCTGTGCTATTGCTCCAGCCCCGGACAGGTACATTTTTTATGTTTGGTTGTTACAGTTTGAGTCTCCTGCTGTTTTGTTGACGCTATGGTTTGCGTGGGCAGCTCTGCTACCCTCTCCATCATCCCTACACCCGGGGCCCTTGATCCCGAGCCCTCCCCCCCGCATCATTCCTGACAACTCTTCTTCTTTCTCCCTCAATTTCTTTCCTCTCCTGCCCTTCTCCTTCATATACTCTTGGGTCAAGGGTGATCTAGGTACCCCCTGGGAGAGAGACATTTTATTTATTGGCTTTTTGGGTCATACCCAGGGATGCTCAGGGTTTACTCCTGGCTCTGCACTCAGGAATCCCTCCTGGCGGTGCTTAGGGATCGAACCCTGATTTGCCACGTGCAAAGCAAGCGCTCTCCTCACTATACTATCACTCAGCCCCTCGAATGGGACATTTGGAAAAAATAAAAAAATTCATTTTCCAAAGGACAGCTCTAAGTCTGGTAGCTCGGCATGGATGGGAGGTGTGTAAATATGTGTACCACACACACACACACAAACACACAGTTTTAAAATGACCCATGCATGTGTACTGCCCCCCCCACACACACTGTTCTAAAATGATCCGTGCATGTTTGTGCCAAACACACACACAGTTTTAAAATGACACATGCATGTGTACCACACACACACACACACACACACACACACACACACACACACAGAGTTCTAAAATGATCCGTGCATGTGTGAGCCAAACACACACACACAGTTTTAAAATAACCCATGCTTGTGTACCACATACACACACACACACACACACACACACACACTGTTCTAAAATGATCCGTGCATGTGTGAGCCAAACACACACACACACACACACACACACAAACACACACAGAGTTCGAAAATGCCCCATGGCCTAAGAGAGCCCCCAGCTGTCACAAAGCTCTTCCCCTTGGGAGAAGGTTCGAAACTTTGATGTTATCTGAGGACAAGTGAACGGGGAGCACCTTTAAGCCTCTCCCAGTTAGTGGCCGTTTAAATACTGAAACCAAAACTTAATGAAAGATTTAAGTCTTTCATTAAGGCAGAAAAATAATCTCGGAAACACTTTGTCAAACGATTTCTAAATCCAAGATTGAGGAGACTGAACAGGAGGTTCAGACACGCCGACAGGAGGACGTGCAGGAACGGGAAGGCCGACAGCAAGGCCCTGACGAAGCCTGAGCTGTTTTCCACTTTCAGGCTGGAACCTGGTTTAAATCATTTTCCAGCAGTCTTTCCAAATGGGGGGGGTGGGGGGAGGAGAGGGTTTCATGGACATGGAAGGGGGGATGAAAGGCTCACTCGTGTCTGGGGCAGCCCTGGTCTTGCCACTCACCCTGGAAAGGCTCACCTGACGCCCTGCTCTGGAGAGATCCCACAGGGCCGCTCTGCCCCACGGTCCCCACAAATCTGCTCCTTCAAACCAAGCTGAGGGTCCCACTAAGATGACCCTGAATGGAACACCGCCAATTTCCTGCGCCCCACATTTTGGAAACGTTCATCGGTCAACTACCATCACGGAAGGGGAATCATTAAGGAACCGACACTTGGCACAAGAGTTGTGGCTTGTGGCGGAGTACGTGGTGTGCAGTGCTGGACGTGTGTGTGTGCGCGTGTGCGCACGCACGCACGCGCGAGCGCAGAGAGAGGCAGCGGGGTGGGGGGTTAGGGAACGGCAGCCACGCATGGACGCTGCAGACCTTGCCAATAGAACAATGAGACCCCCGCCCACAGCTGCCAGAGTAAGATCTGAGGTGTCGAGGAAGCAGGATGTTGCACCGGAAAATGCCTTTTTTTAATATGCGTTGTTGCTGCATCAGAGTATTTTCAAAATGCAAAGCTGGTAAAACAGATTGGAATAAAAACGCTCAGTGGGAGCCAGGGCTGAGCTGAGCGCACCCGAGGGCAGGGCTGGAGGAGGGAGAGGGGGGTCAGATGGCGAAGGGAGGCCCTGAGGGAGGGGACGCAGACAGGGACACTGAGGCAGAGCGGGCGCCTTCAGGTAGGGTTTGGCACTGGGTCTGCTCTGCTCGCTGTGGGTTACAGAAAGGGCCTGTTGGATGAGGAGGACTCATGATCACCCTCATCGGCAGTTACAAATACCAGTGGTACCAGGTAATAGAAGACACTGTATGTATATGCGTGTGTGTGTGAGAGAGGAAGGGAGGGAGGTAGGGAGGGAGATAGAGCGAGAGCGAGAGAGAGAGAGAGAGAGAGAGAGAGAGATAAGAGAGGGAGATAGGGAGAGAGGGAGAGAGAAGGAAAGAGAGAGAGGGTGAGGGAGAGAGAGAGGAGGAAGAGGGAGAGAGGGAAAGAGAGAGTAGGCTATAGGAATATGGAAGTACGTACTTTCCAATTTTGCTGTAAACCTCAAACTTCAGAAATAAAATCTGTTAAAAAAAAACCGATTCTTTTTATTTACATATTTATAAAAAAGACATAAAATCAAGAGTTTAACAGGTAAAAACCAGATCCAAATTTGCCAAGTTAAATACATAAAAACAGGAAAGCAGGCTGAATTATCAAAAGGAAAACATTTTATTTATATCACTACAATTAGTTTCCCTGATTCTAACCCAGAACGGTGCCACCCAGAACACTGTACAGGGGACCGACCCCAGCAATCACGGTGTGGACATACGTCCCTGTGACCGCTGCCCCCAGGCAGGGCACAGCCTGCGGCCAGTCCATCTGCTTCAGAAACTCTGACCAACGGAAGGGAATTACATTAGTGTAGGTAGCAAAGTGCTTGTACAATAACTTAAAAAGTGAAGAGCGGGCAGCACTGAGGCCCCGGGGCCCCTCTCCCCGGCCCTTCCGCAGACGCCATGTCTGAAACCTGGACAACCTCTTCCCCATCATGGAGATGACGATTCGCATCACTGGCCATCACTGGCCGCCGGGCTGGTCATGGTGCATTTCCGGTGTGTAAGTCAACAGGACAATCATGACCCAGAGGTGGAGTAAGGCCTGCAGACAGACACACAATCGCTGCATTAGCCTGGAGGCCACCCCCACCAGAGGCCCGCTGACCACGCGCTTTGCACTTCCGACCCCCGGCACTGCCTGGGCCCAAAGTGAACAAGGGGCCGGGGGGAGGGGGTAACTGAGGGTCCAAGCAGGACCAGGGACCCACGGCTGACCCATCAGCCCAGCTAGCAAGGACTGATGGGAGGGCCCCTGGATGGGGCTTGTACAGTCCCATAAATAGACTGAATTCAGTAAAATAACTAGGTATTCTGGTATTCTACTTTATCACTTAAAGGGGCTGAGTGTACTTAGCTGTTAAAATGCAGTGACATCTATTTTTCCTGGCAGGAAGAGGCCTTGAGCAATATTTACTTTAGGTGAAATGAATTGTCTACCATTTACATGCACATTTTGAAAGAAAAAAAAAACAATGATAAAGGATAGACAAGTCTCGTTCAAAACGAAGTGCTGAGGGGCTAGCGCGATGGCACAGCACGTAGGGTGTTTGCCTTGCATGCAGCCGACCCGGGTTCGATTCCCAGCATCCCATATGGTCCCCTGAGCACCGGCAGGGGTAATTCCTGAGTGCAGAGCCAGCAGGAACCCCTGTGCATCCCTGGGTGTGACCCCAAAAGCAAAATAAAGAAATGATTTAAAAAAAAAATGAAGTGCTGAGCTTGAGACAGAAAACTCAGCAGTTGCTGGGGCCGGAGTGCCAACTTGGGAGGGGGGGGTCTGGGTCCCCCCACACTCGCCCTGGTGGCGCTGAGAGCCCCGAGGAGTTGCTTCTCGTGAAAGAAGCAAACCAGAGAGGGAGGACGAGCAGCTGGGATGGACTAGCCGACCGCCAGGAGCCCACTTACCATGTAGATGATTATGAAGACCCTCGCAATGGGGTATCTTCGGAGAAAAATCCCCAGACGAATGCTGTGCGGTGGGGGGGGGGGGGGGGTTGAAAGAGGAGGACAGTTACTCTCAAACGAACTGCCTAAACGAACTGCCTGCCCACTGGGACACCTAACGACACTTCAGAATTCACCAGAACCAGGAAGATTTTTCTAGCAGTGTATGATGCGGTGATTAGACTTGAACTAAAAACCAAGCGACGGCATGCTGGCAAATACTCGTTGTGTTCTGGCTACGAGCTTCCGCACACGCTGTTTCTCTCCACTCTGTGCCAAACGCAGGAGGCAAGCTTGGTGCCTCGCCAAATCATTTTTCTTTGCGGAACTAAAAAAAGTTATCACGGAGCAGCGTGGACACACGAACGGGACAGGAAAATAAACAAACAGACGAAATGTTGGCTTTGGCACTGATCTGCAAAGATTAAGTCCAAGATTTTTTTTTTCTTTTTTAAAGCCGGGTGGGGCCAGAGTGACAGGACAGTGGACAGGGCACTTGCCTTGCACAAGGCTGACCCGGGTTCGATCCCTGGCACCCCATAGGATTTCCTGAGCCCTGACAGGAGTGATCCCTGAGTGCAGAGCCAGGAGTAAGTCATAAGCTTCGCCGATTTGTGTCCCAAATACCAGATCAAATCAAATCAAATCTGGAAGGTTCCGTTAGGCCACCTGGCTCTATAAAGACTCGATAAACACAAAGTCTCCGAGTGGGACTGCTGTCCTGACCTAATGCCTTGATCCTCTGCAACTCAGTCCCTCCTCCCACCCTCCTCAGCTGCACCCAGGGAGAGGCCCACCGGCAGCCCCCTCTTCCCCTGCCTCCACATAGCCCTTGCGCTTCCTAAGGTTTCTAAAAATTATGCCTGTTAACTAAACAGTTAAATAAATGTGCTGTACACTTTGGAGAAGATGTGATGCGAGATGCATGCTAAAAGTAGACTATAGACCGAACACGATGGCCACTCAATACCTCTATTGCAAACCACAACACCCTCAAGGAAAGAGTGAGCAAAAGGGAATGCCCTGCCACAGAGGCGGGCGTGGGGGATGGGGTGAGGGGTGGGAGGGCTACTGGGATCCATGGTGGTGGAGAATGGGCACCGGTGGAGGGATGGGTACTCGATCATTGTATGATTGAAACCCAAGCACGAAAGTTTGTAAGTCTACAACTGTACCTCATGGTGTTTCACTAATAAAAAAAAAATAAATAAATTTTTAAAAAAGAAGATGACCCCTAAGCCTATGGCTTCAGGAATTTTTATGAACTCACTCCCCTTATTTGAATACAACACTTCTCTTCTCACACAAAAAGGCAAGGGCACATTATACACAAAGCCACAACTAACTGCTGCTCACACACGCTAAAGGGCGAGCGCTTGGGGGGTTTTTTGGGCAGAAGTTCCTCCAGGCTCTCTAAGCAATTCAAACAGGGGCTGTCGCGGCACCATAGCAGGTGGGGTGCTTGCCATGCACATAGCCTACCTAGGTTTAGTCCCCGGCATTCCCTATGGTCCCTTGATTCCTGCCAGGAATAATTCCTGAGTACAGAGCCAGGAGTAACCCCTAAGCACTGTTGGGTATGCTCCAACCCCGCAATCAAAAGAAAAAAAACAAAAACCCAAAATAAAAAAAATCCCCTATTTTTAGGGTCTAGGATGTGGGCCGATGGCAGAGCACATCCGTACACATGAGCTCCTATGTTGATGAATGTGCACACGTGTGGCCTCCAGTCCACGGGGCGAGAACCCAGCCATGCGTCCCACCACAGAGCCACACCCCAGCTCCGCAGCCCCGAAGGACAGGGCAGACGTCGGACTGAACAGACTTATTCAGGCCCGAGGAGAGAACTCCTCGCAGACACAGGACCCAAGGTCTGTTTCCGACCACTTCCTTACCCTCTGCGCACTGGAGCCCCAGTGCTCCGGAGTCTCAGAAGGAGCCCCGGCAAAGAAAAAGTTCATTAAAAAAATATAGAGAGAAGAGGGCTGGGAGATGCTCACGGACTGGAGTCCACAGCTTGCCTGTGGGGGACCTAGGTCTGACCTGCATGGCCAGGTCGCTAGACCATGTGCACGCGTGTGTGCAGACACACACACACACACACACACACAGGCACTCACACAAGCATGCCTGCGCACACACACACGCACACACATACACACACGCACAAACACATGCACACACACAAGCATGCCTGCGCGCACACACACACGCACATAAACACGTGTACACGCACATATGCACACACACACACAGGCGTATATAAAATATGAACTGAGTGCTGTTCATTTATCCATTATAGCATGTTAAATTCTAATCAGATGATAAATTAATGGGATAAAACGTTCATTGCATTTATTTTGGGTGCTGGGGAACAGAGTTAGGACTTCATACAAAGAAAACCACGTGCTCTACTAATGACCTGTATCATGGGCCCAGGATGACATATTTACACGGATGCAGTTGTGTGCAATAGAGGCTTTCTCTATATTTTTGTTTTTGGGGTTTTGTTGTTTTTTTTGGGGGGGGGTGGACAGGAAGGGGGGTCTTCTCAGCTGTGCTCAGGGTTTACTCCTGGTGCCGCCTCAGGGATTACTCCAGGTGGGGGCTAGGGGACCCTACTGGGTGCCGGGGATTGAACCCGGTTAGTTGTGTGCAAGGCAAATGCCTTTACCTGCTGTAATGACCCCTCTCAGTAATATTTAAGGAGAGCCTTTTAAATTGAGTTCATATTCTTAAGAAATGGTCAGTTGACCATCCAGTAAAACACAGGTAGGCCTCCAGAAATCACTGCACAACACTGAGATACTGTGAAAGAAATCGAGCATCAGCCTGAAGATACTGGGCAATGTCCCAGGCCCGGTCGGTCACCGCTCCTGTCACTCACCTGAACTGGTCAATGGAGCTGGCCGCCCTGCGGACCTTCCCGTACATTCCTGCCAGGTTACTCTCTGTGTCATTAAAAAGCACGGGCATGTTCCGCAGGCGTGTGCCTGTTTGAAAGAAAAATACGGCAAATTCAAGCAGATCCCAAAACCAGCTTCCTAAGAAAGTCACATCTGAATAGACATTCCATGTAAGACACCCCCACAGCCAACTTTCAGAACATTGCACTCCAGGCCCGAGAGAGAGCACAGCAGGTAAGGCACCTGCCTGGCACGCGGCCGGCCTGGGTTCAATCCCCAGCACCCCACAGGGTCCCCCAAGCACCGCCAAGAGTGATCCCTGAGTGCAGTCAGGAGCGAGCCCTGAGCACCTCTGGGTGTGGCTCAAAAACCAGAATCCAAACAAAACCACCACCACCACAAAACTATCTTGCTGCACTAGAAGAAAAAAAAAAAACTCATGAAAAATTGTTAATTAAAGCAAATATTGTCTTTCAAAATATGCCTTCCACTACTGCCCAAAGGCGTTCCCATCCTCCCATTTTCACCTCTAACACGCTGTTCAGAGTCTTAAATATTTAATATGATTTTTTGTTTTGGCTGGTGGGCTTTAGGGACCACATGGGGTGCCGAGGACCAAACCCACGTCAGCCATGTGCAAAACCAGCATCCTCCCTGCCATACGGTCACTCCAGCCCCTTAACATGACTCCTGCCCCCCTGGTCCCCTTCTCCCAGATCCCTTCCTGGTGAGGGGTCCTGCGGGGCCCACCGACCAGGTTCTGGTCACATCACGGGTGCCCCAGGCTGGGCAGCGGAGAAGCGGGTGCTGCACTGGTGGAAACTTCTCCCCACTCCGTAAAAAGGTCGCTTTCCAAAACCCTCAGCACCGAGCACAGCTGGAAACGCGGCCCGCGAGCTGTCCTGGGAGCCCCTCCTGGCATTACCGTCTCCGCCGTCGAGCCCCGGCATGCTGATGGCAGACCCGTTGCTGCCGCCGCCCGGCGCGGCCTTCATCTGCTGCTCCAGGCGCTCCAGCTGGTAGACCAGCGAGTTCTTCTCGGTGCTGAGGCTCTCCAGCATGGTCTGCTTCTGGATGAGCGTCTCCGTCAGCTGGTGGAGGCGATTCTCCAACTCGGCCTGGCTGCTGTTGCTTAGAGACTTGTTGGTGAGCTGAAAGGGCAGAGGGTCACGAGTCACATGGCAGACACCCCACGATTCGATCCCCACGGGTGAGAACCGGGGCGTTTAACTCAGTCCTTGGAGAAGGTTTCCAAACTCCAGCCGTGGGTCACGAAACCAACCCGAGGAGCCCCAGCCGGCAAACAGCAGAAGTGGATGTTATCCGAGCACACGGTCTGGGGAGGCCCGGGTGTAGGTTCTGGCAAACTTCCCTTTTGTTTTGGATGTGTTAAATGAGTGTGACTCTGGACATGTGCCACAAACTGGCTTCCTGTGGCACCAACCGTGAAAAATATTTGAAAGTGCCGGCCCACAGGACGCCGTCCAAACTTCTCGCCCTCAATTCAAAATCCTTCCCAATCTGCCCTGCTCTTCCCTGAATCCAGCTCGCCCGCCTGTGTCTGTGGCTCTTTGCTGTTTCAGCTCTGGAGAAGCCCGAGTTCTCTGGAGCACGGACTTCCCTCCTTCTCTCCCCTTGCATCCTTCTACGTGAATTCCATCCAGTGAAATCTAAACAGACTTAAGGCCCCCACAGCCCTTACAATCCAGCAGCTGTTAGCACAGTGCCTGCCTTGCTGTTCCCCCGACTCAGACTCCGGACAATCGGCTGCGCCTTCTCCGCACTCTCTGTTCGCTGAGTGAGGGAAACGCGCCCGTGGCTGACGGCTCTCACCAGTATTCACAGAAAAACTCCCTAGCCGGGACAGGCTGACGGTTGGTTGTTCATGTCTGTTGGTTTGGGGGCCACCCCCAGCTTACTCCTGGCTCTGCGCTCAGGAATCACTCCTGGCGGTGCTTGGGGGACCCTATGGGATACTGGGAATCGAACCCGGGTCGGCTGTGTGCTTCACCTTACTTCTATTCGCTCTCTGCTACCACCATTTCCCTCCTCCCCATTCTTATCGGTCCCTCCACCCCCCCAAACCCCACCTGAGCCGAGAATCTCCCTGTAGTCCTTTCTACTCGAGCCCTTGCTGACCTCAGATCCCCACTGCGGGACTGGGAGATAGTACAGTGGTTAGCACATGCCAGGCACAGGCCTGACCCAGGTCACATTCCTGGAAACACACGGTCCACTGCGCATTGCCAGGTGTGTGGTGCTAAGTCCTGACATCGCTTGGGGCGGCCTGGGTACCCAGACTACACGGCCAGCAGCACCACCCCCTGGGCCCTTCACCCCAGGCTTCCCACTGGGCTGGCCGTGGTCACTCGGCAGCTCTGTTCAGTGGGACTAACCCTGACTCCTCAGGGAAATGGCCAGTGGGCTCCAAAGGTAGGAATCACCGCCTGCGTGCAGTCTGGAAAAGAGAGTGAAGTTTACAGCCCCAGCTCTGCCACTTTAAGCTACAACCGTCTGCCCAGTCTCAGCCTCAGTTTCCCTGCTCCTGGGATGGTGGCAAATGGAAAAAAAAAAAAACAAAACACTGAACACAGGACAGATGGAAAGAAGCTCCCTTTCCCCGAAATCCCTTTCAGCACTCCCACAATCTGGTGCCGGGTTGGCCCATAGCAAACCATCACCTGGAATCTCAGTGAACAGAGAAGCAACGGATCTGCATGAAAGCAGAAATGCTAGTTTTTACAAAGGGACAAAACATAGCCCCTGGGGGGCTGGAGCGATAGCACAGTGGGGAGGGCATTTGCCTTGCATGCGGTCAACCCGGTTCTATTCCCAGCATCCCATAGGGTCCTCCAGGCACCGCCAGGAGTGATTCCTGAGTGCATGAGCCAGAAGTAACCCCTGTGCATCACCGGTTGTGACCCCAAAAGTGAAAATAAATCAAACATAGCCCCTGGAGCCCCGTGTTTCTCAACCTTTGCCCGCTATGTTTCCTTCCTGGGACCCCTCTCCTATGGGCTGGTCCCCTAGTCTGTGCCATGATGCCCTGTGTATGTGATTTTCATGCATGCCCTGCCATGGAATATCCCGGGGGCCCACAGAGTGTCACACAGCCCCCGCTGAGAAGCACTGGGGCTGATTAACTTACTCCCTACTTTGGCACGTGTGAGCTGAGGGGAAATGCACTGGGGCCCAGATCTCAGGTAGTGAGCTGACAAACGCGCAACTGGTTAATCGATGTGCAGTTCACAGTAGAGACGGTTTCCATCACGCCCATACAACACAGGGTGCCCTCTGCGTTGCTTGGGGAACCAGTATTGAGTCTTGCCTATACTTCCATTTCTGATTAATGGAAGTGACACATTACGATAAAAATAAAAAGAATGCTCCAAGCGATTCCTTGTATTATCAGTGCCTTTTTACTGCTGAGAAGTCTGCAACTTGTTTACCCATTTAGGTGCTGCTGAGTTATTTTGACTACTTCCAACTGTGATACATACGAGCCATCCGGATGATGTGGCTTCACCTGTACTGAGCTAGAAGGTTAGTAAGATGGACAGCAACCTGTCAGTCTTACTGAACAGTACCACACCTCTGCTATTGAATTGCCATCCATTCTAGCGAGTGTATTAGTAATGCAGCTTGTGGGTCTGAATTTGCATCCCTCTGAAGGCTGAGATTTTGAGCATCTATTCAGGTGCTTGTTTGGTCACTCTTACCAATATTTATACACAGTATTTAAATGCTTTACACATCTGGAAACTCAAGTTATGCGTTCCATTGGTGAGACCCTGGGTTTGATCCCCTGCCCCTAAAAAATGCATGTTAGTGGTGCATCTTCATTTAATTATCAAGGCTCCTTATCTTGGTTACAGGGCCTTGTAAATGTTTCCCCGGCCTGTGGTTAGTCTCATTTCATTTTCTTGATTAGAGTCTTGTGATAAAATGTTAACTTTGACCAAATCCAATCCATCATAATTTTCATCCATGGCTAAGTGTTTTTTTGTGTCCTTCCCGACGGCTCAAAGGGCAGGGCAGAGACTCTGGTGCTGAGCCCAGGGTTTGGTCCCCAGCACAGCAGGGTGGTCTCCCAGAGCACTGGCCAGGAGCAAAGGCCCCAAAGCAAGCAAACAGGCAAAATTAAAACGCAAAACATTTTCAACTGTCACAAATCACAAATCATCCTGTTATTCGTCGATTGCCTCGAGCAGGCCCCAGTAACATCTCTTTCACCCTAGCCCTGAGATTATATTCAAGGCTCTTTAGGAGAATGAGACCCATGATTGTTACTGGTATTTGGCATATTTGGTATTCCACGGAGAGTTTGCCAGACTCTGCCCTGTGGGATTTTCAACTGTGGGTTACTAGAAAGCTTGAAACTTAAAAAACAAAAATGATTTGCTTTTCATGTTCAAAGGAAGTCAATGATTGTTGAGTCCATTACTTAAGACAATCTGCTAACTGCGAAAGAACGAGCTCTTTCCAAGAGGAAGGACTACCTGATTCTAGGGGTTAACACAAGAAAGTGTGGGTGAATGGGGTGGTGGGCACCTATTATTTTCCTTTAGTTTTTATATTTCCTTGTAATTTCCACAATTTTGTATTTCCTTGTAATTCCTTTTCAGAATTACAAGGTCTCGGCAGGCCATGCGTGTGGCTCAGTGGTAAGGCACTTCCCCTCCATAGGGAGGCCTCGGGTTTGATTCCCAGCACCACCTAGTTCTCCAAGTAACGCAGAGAACACCGCTGGAGCACCAAGCTGGGAGAAGCCCCCAGGCACAGTGGGGTGTGGCCCCAAGCCAAAAAAAAAAAAGCCAACCAGAAAAAAGATCTTAGGCACTTTATAAAGACAGGCATGTATGTATGTTGTGCGTGGAGGAGCAAAACTGCTAGCGCTCAGGTGACCACATGTGGTGCCGGGAATAAAGACAGGATGCCACGTCAGCTGCATGCAAGGCAAACACATTAGCTGCACTGCCTCTCCGGCCGATGCAAGACAAGACAAAGCCCTGAACTCTCTCTCTGGGCCAAGACAGATTTTTTAAAAATAAGTTTTTCTCTCTTGGAGCGGCAGGGAATGAACCCAGGGTCTCACAGGTGCCAGTACGAGTCGAAAACTGAGTCACATCCTGACTCTAAAAGATAGACATCTTGAAAGAAGATCTATCATCAGGGACGGCAGTGACAGGAGAGCAAGCAGTAGGGCACCTGCCTTGCAAACGGTCAACCGGGGTTCGATCCTGGCATTCCACATGGACCCGAGCACTGTCAGGAGTGACTCCTGAGTGCAGAGCTTGAAATAATGAGCACCACTGGGTGTCCTCCCAAAAAAGATTTAGGAAGGAGAAACAAGAAATTGGCAAGTAGCATAACTACCATGAGAATCAGAAGGTAGAGAACTTGGGAGGAATTCACATCCCTTTTCATCATTCTGTCTCTAAGATACCTCTATAAGCGAGCTACAGACCGACATAGCACTGGGTGGAAATTCTGTATCAGGCTGACATCACTTACCGCTCTATTGGAACAACAGATCTCAGATATACAGAAGAGGGAAAAGTCATGGCTGTTCCCTTAAAAAAAAAAAAACCAAACCAAAAAACCTATATATCCAGATATCGCGTTTTACAAATTATGGTTGCTAAGTCATACCTGATTCCTGAGCTTCTGAATTTCCTCTTCTCGATCTTTAATTCTGCTTTGTAACGTGTTCTTTGTTCGATACAGGTCTTCTTCTACGTAGCGGAATTCCTACAGTGAAGCAGAAACACACAACAGCTAAATCGCGAGTCCATCCCCAGTGCCTTAGGCAGTGTTGACGCATAGCAGATCGTCAATATTTGCTGAACACATACTGAAGGAAGAGATGAACAGTCTTGAAGAGGTGTGACGGAAAGTCACCAATTCAGCACATACAACTTTCCACACACAAGCTTTATGTGGTCATGTTCTTAGTTTTCCTGAGTAGAAATAGAGAAATGACAACTGGATCATCTGATTAAGTGTATAACCTAAAACTCTGAATTTTGGGGGGAGTGGGGGAGTGCTGGGCCACATCCTGAGATGCTACAGTGCTCTTCCAGGTTCTGGGCTCAGGGGTTGCTCCTGGTAGTGCTCAGGGTACCATATGCAGTGGCAGTCACTGAATGAGGTTGGCTTGCATGTGAAGAAAGCACCCTGTTTTCAAAATAACCTGTAACACTCTACAGTAAGACGAGTTACAGTTATTGCACATCAGGCATGCAGGGATGTCTCACTGTGGGCATGCAGAGATGTGGCTCTGAGGACATGCAGGGATATCTCACTGTGGGCATGCAGGGATGTCGCTCTGAGGGCATGCACTGAGGTCTCAATGCGCATTTAATGATGCTGAGCATCTTTTTTGTGTACCTTTGGCATCAGGCTGGGAGCTACGTGAGGTAGTAAATGTGACATAGCATCAAAGTGTCACATCAACTTTAGACATGAAGCTGAACCTGCTTGTTTCACAGACTGCAAAGAATGAGACGCTGGGTTGGAGAGATGACAGTACAGGGTGAAGGCTCTTGCTCTGCGTTCTGTGTGTCTTGGTTTGAACCCCCAGAACCACATATGGTCCCCTGGGCACCACCAGAGTTTACTCCTGGCAGAGCCAGGAAACCCGAGTACCACTACGCACAGCCCAAATCTCCTCCCACGCCTCGAAAAAAGGGGAAAAAAAATGAAATAAGGAAAAAGTCGGGGGGAAATTAGGGTGGGAGAATCACATGGATTGTAAGATGGATTGCCTGATTTCTTTTAAGTTCAAGGCTAACATAAAAATTTAAGATGGAAATGACCTGAATTGGTAAGGAGTACTAAGGGGCTGTTTAGTCCTAGACTAAGCCCTTTACATCTGATTCTGGCGGAAGAGCCTGCAGATACGTTCAGTTGCACTTTCCTCATTACTCCCAGATTTTTTTTTTCCAAAAGGACACTGGAAGTGGATGTGGTTAAGACCATCTGCCATAATAAAATGAGAATGATCTCATTAGCCAACAAGAACATTACATTTTTTTTATTTTAAAATATGAGAGGTCCTTCAATAAATTAAATGCAATGTCCAGAAGGACAGCTAATCCTATAACTGCATTATCTAGCAGAGCTTAAATGTAGCCTGCAGGTTTTGCTACTCAGTGAATTTTGCTCTCACTACAGAGAACAACTTATGTGATTTCAAAATTAAAATGAGTCATTTCTCCGAGAATAAAATAAATTTTAGAAGTCATAAATACTAACTGAGAAAATACAGGGGCTACAGAGATAGTACAGCGGGTAAGGTACTTGCTTTGGACAGGGTGGCTGACCCAAGTTCAATCCCGAGTATCCCTTATGGCCCCTCAACCAACACTGATTTCCTGAGTGCAGAACCAGAGTGACCCCTGACCATTGCCAGGTATGGTCCCAAAGCCAAAAACTTAAAAAAAAATATTTAAAGAATTACGGCCAGAGGCACCACAGACCTAATTTGGAACCCAGCAGCTTCTGGCAGAAATGTGAACGGACTATGCATTAAGCTATGGCGCCGTGCCCGTTCCCCCTGCCCCGCTGGGAGGGAAAGGGTGTCTGTCTCTTCCGCCTTTTTCCCCCCCAGTGGCATGGTGGCTACCGCCTCAGAGCTTAATGGACAGCCAGGTATGAACTGGCGGTGACAGGGTAACTGTGGCCTCATGGGATGGGGAGTGGAACTGGCACGTCCTTCTTGCCCCACTGAGACCACGAGCTGCCCCCCACGAGCGTCTCTCCAGCATGGCCATGGCCCCAGAGGCACACAAACCAATCTCGGAACTACATGGCTTTTGACAGAAATCCTTCCAGATTTACTTAGTAAAATATCACTGTCACTGCCACCGTCCTCCCGTTGTTCATTGATTTGCTTGAGCGGGCCCAGTAATGTCTCCATTGTGACAATTGTTACTGTGTTTGGCATATCGAATACGTCACGGGTAGCTTGCCAGGCACTGCCGTGTAAATATCAGACATCATATGGTCTTCATAACCAGCAATAGAAAAAAAAATTATTTCACGATGCCTTTTCAGCAGGTTTGACTGTTGGGGGAAAATTCCAAATAATAATGGTATATCTTTTGTTGAAATGATGAGTGTGATCAAAATAAAGAGAAAGTGGAGATCATCTGCCTCACAGGCACAGGGAGGGGTGGGATGGGGGGTATATTGGGGTTCTTGGTGGTGGAGAATGTGCACTAGTGAAGGGATGGGTGTTTGGTCACTGTAAGACTGAGATTTAAACCTGAAAGCTTTGTAACTGAGATTCAATAAATAAATAAATAAAATTATGCCCAGAGAGATTGGATAGTGCATAGGGCGCTTGCCTTGCATGCGGCTGACCTGGATTCAATCTATGACACCCAGGATGGTCCCCAAACATGCTAGGAGTGAACCTTCACCACAGAACCAGGAGTTAGCCCAGAGCAACGCTGGGTGTGGCCCTTAAAAATACAAACCATTAAAGACTAAAAATAAGCAGGGCTGGAGAGAGAGTTGAGCAAATAAGGCGCCTGCCTTGTATGCAGCAGACCTGGGTCCAATCCTGGACACTGCATATGATCTGAGCTAGGAGTAAGCCCTGAGCACAACTGGGTGGAGCCCAAACATTAAAGAATAAGCAGAGAATGTCCTAAACGCTACTCACACCATAAGCGTGTTTTTCTCTGCTGTAGAATGAACAGTGATGATCTGAGAACTGACTACGATAATATGTACTGAGTCCTCTGATAATGCCGTCATTCAGTAAATTACACTGTTAGGAACATTACAGAATCTTGCTTCTAAAATGTAGCTCTAAGTATGTTTAACTATGTCCATAGTGACATGATGATGTAAGTTATTAATGTAAAGTAATTTGGTTTAGGTAGGAGACGTCTGCTGACAGTAAAATATACTTTCGAATATGGTTTGTCGGGGCTGGAGAGAAATTACAGTGGGTAGGGCGTTTGCCCTGCAAGTGGCCAACCTGGATTCAATCCCCAGCATCCCATCCAGTCCCCTGAGCACTGCCAGGAGCAACTTCTGAGTGCAGAGCCAGGAGTAAACCCTGAGCATTGTTGGATGTGACCCAAAAACGGAAAGGAGCAACAACAACTAAAAAAGAAAACCCACCTCAACAGGATTTGTATTTTTATCTCAAACAGAAGGAGTGAAATACGGTACTGATATTACATTTGCATTTCGATTAATATTGTTTGTTCCTTCTAAGAAATGTAAATGTAATGAAATATAAAAATCAGTTGGTGCTTTTCAAGCGTCCTACACAGATGAAACCTGACAAGGAGATGTGACAAATAAACAACAACAAAAAAAACCAAAATAGAAAAGTAGAAAGGATTCTGGATTCTGGGACAGAAATTGTGCGTTCCATCTCATTCTCTGATCAGCTGTGTAGCAAGTCTCTGAAAGGTAAGTCTCAACGCATTTTGTGCCTCTATTTCTCATGTTAAAAAAGAGCAGGCAACGAGGGGCCAGCGATACAGTGGAGTGAGCAGGGTGCTCACCCTGAATGCAGCTGACCCTGGTTCGGTCCCTGGCACTGCATATGGCTCCCTGAGCACCACCAGGAATGGCCCCTGAGCACAGAGACAGGAGTAAGCCCTGAGCACCAGCAGGTGTGGCCCCCAAAGAAAATTAAACACAGAAAAGCAAACAATGAGGAGTCACGGCAGGAGAATAAGGTGGGAGGGTCCCCAGCACAGCGATGCCCGAGAACCCCTGGGAGCGTCCATAAGCTGCTTTCCTGGGAAGCCTCCTCACGTGACCCCTCGGGGGCAAGGCTGACCCTGAGAACGAACTGCTCTAGAACACCCACCTGCTTCTGCCGGTCCAGCTCTGCCTCCAGCTCTTGTCTAGATGCTTTCTGCCCAGCGATTTGTTCTTGCAGATCTTGTAACTGTTCTCTGGCTGACTCGGCTTCATTAACCTGCTGGGCCTCCATATCCTGAAAAAGAAAAGAAAGGAAAAGGAAACTAAGAGGAAAAAGCCTGAGTGTGAAAACAGTAACTAATGGGCCAGTTCAGTGTTTACCAAGCAGCTTCATGGTGTTGCGCCATGAAGCGCCTAGCAGGCAAGACCTTGGTAAAGGGAGCAAGACAGCCCCAGCGAAACAAAGTGTAAATAAAGTCACACTCCATTACCTAGGAAAATGCTTAACAGAGCTCGGCAGGGGGTGGCAGCCCCACCCCCAGCTTGTGTTTATTGGAGAGCTATCAATTTTTTTTAAGATCAATTTTTAAAAAAACCACAGAGACAGACCATTAACATAACATACAGCATAGGGACAATAATACAGTGTTTCAAAGTTGTAAAGGGTAGATCTTCAAAGTTCTTCACTGTATCACTGTCATCCTGTTATTCATTGATTTCCTCGAGCAGGCCCTAGTAACGGCTCCTTCGTCCTAGCGCTGAGATTCTGGAAAGTGCCACATTCGAGGCTCTTTCAGGGACAGGAGAATGAGACCCATCATTGTTACTGGGTTTTGGCATATTGAATACACCACAGGGAGTTTGCCAGACTCTGCCGTGTGGGCAGGATACTTTTGGTAGCCTGCCGGGTTCTGCAGAGAAAGAACTAGAAAAACTTAACATTATGTATGGTGATGGATATTAATGCCATATTGGGGAGACCATTTCATAATCTATAAGTATCCAATCACATATTGTATACCTGAAAGCAGTATCTTCTGTCAAGTCAGTCAGACCTCAGGACCAGCATCACTGCCTGAGTCCCCTCAAACTGCAGCTCATAATTATTTTTGGGAGTGCATCAGTAACGAATAAATCATATGAATGCAGTTCTTTTCTCATATCACCGGAGGTTAACATACCTTTTTCTTGTATTACCTTTATTACTATCTTCCCCTATTTCTTAGCCTACCCTTTCCACGTGGTATCACTAGTCTCAGTTTTCAAATTCACAATCTACCCGCTTAGTTCCTGTGTTATCTGCCAGTGGCAAAGAGTGAACTCTAGGTTTCTATACTTGTCTTCTATGGAGAAAGAGTAACGCCACAGATCTAGCACTACATAAATTTAAAACTAGCATCAGGGGCTGGAGCAATAGCACAGCGGGTAGGGCATTTGCCTTGCACGCGGCCAACCTGGGTTCGATTCCCAGCATCCCATAGGGTCCCCTGAGCACCGCCAGGAGTAACTCCTGAGTGCAGAGCCAGGAGGAACCCCTGTGCATCGCCGGGTGTGACCCAAAAAGCAAAAAAATAAAAAAATAAAAAAATAAAATAAAACTGGCATCAGTTCTACTTCTCATCTGTAGGCATGCTATTTCATATTCATCTCTAGAAACTCTGGCCCTCCATATGCTGTCTGAAAGAATTGGCAGATCAATAATACTTCCAGACTGGTTATCACAGGGGAGTGCTGGCAACTCATACAATTTCGTAGACAGAGGAAACCGCAAGCATCGCAACTATTTCCCCTTACAACGCCATTTTCAAGGTCAGCAGAAGGTAGACTGATTTATCTTCATCCTCAATCTGAGAGAATCCTGTGGCCCCGTGAGAGGCGGCAGCACGCTCAGTGGCGAGCAACACGTTCCGGAGTTGGACAACGAGGGTCTAATCGTGTCTCTGCCACTTTCACTCGTCCCAGAGAGCTGACCTCCCTTCGTCCAGCTTAGCCCATATCTCAGGGCTAAGGTAGGGAGATCCAAAAATGCACGGTAAGTGCTTTGTGATGAGTCTGGCACTTAAGTGCCCAGGAAACAGCTATTATAAAACTAACCACGCTTCCATTTCACCCAGTGTAATGGAATCATCTTTATTACAGATTTCACGAGCTTCTTGAGGAAGGGTAGGAAAACGGCTCAGGGTCATCGATCATCAATAGGGAAGAAATTTTACAGGAAATGAGTCTAATTTTTCGTGATCTAGCCTAAAGACATGGAAGAGGCAGGATTCAGGGTTGATAATGGGCAAACTTCTGCACTGACTCAATTTCTAAGTTCACAGGACTGAATTCCCTGGAGCTCAAAATTATTTATAAAAATAAATCCTATTTTGGGGTCGGGGAGACATTATAGTGGGGAGGGTGCTTGCCTTGCATGCGGCTGACTAGAGTTTGATCCCTGGCCCATACGGTCCCCTGAGCACCACCAGATGTAATTCCTGAGTGCCAGGCCAGGGGTAATCCCTGGGCAGTGCCGGGTGTGGCCCCCAAAGTAAAAATAAACAAAAATTTCTATTTAAAAAAATATATTTCAGACCAGCAGCAGCTACTTTGGGGATGGGAACTTGGTGGTGAGGTGAAGAGGGTTGAGCCACATCCGGCAGTGGTCAGGGGAGGGCTCAGGCATATGTGGTGTTTGTATGAGCTCACATGCTCATATGCGGTGCTGGGGATCAAACCCGGGCCAGCTGTGTGCAAGGCCAGTGCCTGGTGGCTGTACTATCTCCTCGGTCCTAGCAGCTTCTCCTTCCTGAGAGGTGAGTCCAGGCCAGGCAGGACCTGTGGCCCTTTGAGCAGATGCTCTTTTCCTGACGAGGCCCTCCGCGGCTGGGCATCCCCCAGAAGTGGTGACTCCAGAAGGGGTTGTGAACATGGGGATGGGGGGTGTGGGGGAGGGTCAAACAATATCTTTAATACTTGTTTTAAAAGAAATTCCTTTAGATTATCAGTAACTGACGTGTACACATCTTTTTACTTACCTATGCAGCGGTAATTCATCTCATTCCTACTTTGTACAACCTGGCAGGCTACCGAATGTAACCTGCCCACACGGCAGAGTCTGGCAAACTCCCCGTGGCGTACCCAATATGCCAAATACCAGTAACAATGATGGGTCTCATTCTCCTAACTCTGAAAGAGCGTTGAATATGGCACTTTTTACAATCTCAGGGCTAGGACGAAGGAGACGTTACTGGGGCCGGCGAGACAATGGATGACGAATAACGCAGTGGGTGTTGCGTAAATGTTTCTTAGATATAAGGGGCAGTGAATGGAGAAAGTGAGCAGCCCCGGGCAAGCCGGTACCTGAGTCTGGAGCCCCTCCTCACACACCTGCACGCACACACCTGCACACCTCCCTGTGCAGGATCCCGTGCAGTTGACAGCCACACACGGCGGAACAAATGCACAGATGAACACTCCCTGCAAAGAGTTCCTCTCACACTCAGAGACGTGATATTTCTCTGGAATATTATGTTAAGCTAAAAAACTCTGGGATATTTATGTTAAACCAAAAGGTTTAAGTGAAAAAAAAAGTGGCCCAGTTTTACTCTTAAGCATAGTAAATATAAATCATAAAAGATTATTATAGATTGGCATGAAACCATAAGGAAAAGACTCTTCCCGAGCCCACTGCAACATCAGAAAATGTTCCCTGTTCACAGAGACCAGATCTAACATCCTGACCACTTGGCAGTAGGTCCACCAAAAAAAAAAGAAAGAAAGAAAAAAAAAAAGGCTTTTGTCTTTTTCTGGTTTTGGCACACACCTGGCTGTGCTCAGTGCTAACTCCTGGCCCTGCACTCAGGGATCGCTCCTGGCAGGGTTCTGGGGACCATACATGCTGCCAGGGATGGCTGTGTGAAAGGCAAGTGCGCTCCCTACTGGACTACTGCCCTTCTCCGGCTTTTATTACTTCAAAGCCTAGTACATGCCAGACAGACAGTATAAGGGGTGCCTTCTTATGAACAAATGAAGCTTATTTCTTATGAGACACCTACATCCCTTATCTAGGAGTTTCTTATAAGACACCAATGTCTCTTATTCCTGTACTTTATAGCGACCCGGCTGAGAAGAAAGCTGTGGCTTTAGGTTCACTTTAATACAGTGACCAATATTCCAGCAAAAGGAGCTGGAGTGGTAGCACAGCGGCCGACCCAGGTTCGATCCCCGGCATCCCATATGGTCCCCTAAGCACCGCCAGGAGTAATTCCTGAGTGCATGAGCCAGAAGTAACCCCTGAGCATCGCTGGATGTGACCCAAAAGAAAAAAAAAATTCCAGCAAAATTTTCACAAGTGTTTTCAGTAATATCTTCCCCTTGCAACTGGCTAAGAGGTTTAGTAAATGGTTGTCTGGGATACTGGACCACAGTAAATCTTACCTGTAACTCAGATCTCAGCTGATGGATCTGACCCATCAGCTTCTGTATTTCCTCCTTCTGCATCTCCTTCTCGTGTCGGAGTTCTTCGAGCTCCATGCTGCTGGCAGCACTGCCGTCCAAGCCTTCAAAGCCAGACCCCTCCTTCAGGCTGTTGATCAATTTTTCCTTAGACTATTTTTTGAGGGAGAAAAAATAACTATCTTTAGGTGAAGGGGAGATTAGCTTGTACATTGAACATCATCTACCTTATAGAAATAAAACTACCTTGGAAACGTTCCAACTGTATTTGCCAAAGTCCAGAGATTGTTAAATCCAAGGGGATAAAAATACAACAGGGCGTTAGGACGCAGCGTCCTTTGCACTTTGGTGTCAAACTGTGTGGCCGTCAAAGTGGCTGACAAGATTTTTCTCATACATTTTCCCATGCTCCCCACACAATCCAGTCGAAAAATATTTATGATGTGTCAACAACAGTTTGGTGTTCTACTAAATGTGCCAGGTCATACAGGTGTCTGTCACTCTAAACGTGCCCTCTGCCTTATAAAAACCCAAAGGGAAGTTCACGGTGCCCAGGGTACCCAGCAGAGGGCAATGAAACAAGCTGGAGCGTGAGAAGAAACCACTTCCGGGGGAGAGAAGCCTTCCCATGAAACACAGTGCTCATGCAAGCAGGCAGCCCTGAAAACAGCTCGCTCTTAAAAGATGCAGAGCAAACGGAGCCAAGTATGAAAGCCAAAACAAGGGCCCACAAAAACAGACTGTGAAGGCTGAGAACAGTTCCTCAGTAGAGCACAGAGAATGTGTGTACACAAATGTCCGTGTATTCATGTACACCCGTGTTCTCTCACTCACACCAACACCCAAGCTACTCTCAGCAGCGTTGGAGAGTCCATCAGGACCACTGCGTGGGGGATTCAGATGCCAGATCAACATGCCTGGAGCCTAAGGGAGGAGGGAAGTGGTGGAACCAGAAAGGCTGACCTGGCAGTAGGACAAACCATTTGTGTACAGAACTAGGTGTGGTGTGGAATGCAGCGCGAGTGATGGAATATGTGCACACCTAAAATGTGCAGAGCCTTGGGTTCAATCCCACAGAACCACGCGACTCCCCAGGTGCTGACGGGGTGGGGAGTGAGGAAGATTCTAACCGAGGTGCCCTGTTGTCTGTTTTTGTATAGCCCGCAAAAAGGGTTTTTACATGGTTAAAGGATTGCAAGAAGCCCAGACAGGTCAGAGACACATCCCAAAGGACTGGTGCGCCCACTTGCTTGCACCAGCTCAGGCCCCTGAGGCCTGCTGGGGTAGTTCTGTTGGCCTGAATCCTATCAGGCCTGCAGAGTGGGAGGCAGCACTGCTGGGAGCCACCCCCAATACCAACCCCAACCCCCACTTCCAACCACAGGCAGAAAAAACATTAACAAAACAAGTATATGACAAGATCAGATATGGTCCCTAAAACCTGAAGTATAACTGTGCGTGTCTTTTTTTTTTTGCTTTTTGGGTCACACCTGGCGATGCTCAGAGGTTACTCCTGGCTCTGCACTCAGCATTTACTCCCGGCAGTGCTCGGGGGACCAAATGGGATGCCAGGGGATTGAACCCAGGTCAATTGTGTGGCAAATGCCATCGCTCCAGCCCCATGTGCACATCTTAATAGGAAGTCTGCTTGCTAACTCCTACTATAGGGAACCACCCCTAGTGGAAGAGGGGAAGTGAGGTGAGTGGCTAGTTCACAAGTGCTGCCCTGGCCAGCAGGAAACGTGGCACCAGCAGTCCCCAGGCGGGGGGGGGGGGGGGGGGGGGGGGGGGGGAGGGGAGGGAACAGCTTAGAGCACAGGGCAGGCCTTGCCCGTGCGACATGCACGGTCCGTACTGGACACTGCCTTTGTAAAATGTGCTGTATGTGGGGCCGGGGTGACAGTACAGCAGGGAAGGTGTTTCCCCTGCATGCAGTAAACCCGGGTTCAATCCCAAGTGATTTCTGCGTGCAGAGCCAGGAGGAACTCCTAAGCACAGTTGGGTGTGGGCCCCACCCTCCAAAACTCGGCTACAATTTTATACCAATAATATGAAAAGACTTTCAACTCTTCCACTTAAATACAAATATTTGAAAGTCAATGTTCCTCCAACAAAAGCTGCATTTTTTGGTGGCAGAATTATGGGTGGGTCCTTTAAACAACTTCCTGTATTTTTCAATGTTTCTACCAACACCTTCACTTATACAATCAGTGTTTAAAATTACAGAACCTTCCCCCTATTCCCTCACGCAGCTGCCGGCCTTGCCTCGTGTCTGTGTTTTCATTTTTTCACCTCCCAGTTGCCTGCAGGGGCCTCCTAGACCTGCTCAGTCGTTGGCTCACAGAGCTCTCTGCCCGGGAAGAACAGGCCACACTGCAAACTGCCCCCTTTCTCGGTTCCCCTAGAAGTCGGGGCCTCTTCCTGGATGTCCTCTCCAGCCTCTGCCCACTTCCCTTCCCAGTGCCCTTCTTCTGTGGCTCCGTTTCACCAGCGTGTAAGTGCGGGTGCTCAGGAAGACGGGGTCTTAGACCCCAGCCGGGCTTTGTACCCATTTCCCACCTGGCCAACTCCAAGTGGCTGAGGCCATCTGCGAGTTTCCGGCCTACATTTCTTTCTTGGAGCTTCGATGTCAGTTTCACGTTGTGTCACTCCTGCAAGCTCCCCGGGACTTTTTATCATCCCCACCAAGCCTCGCTGGTTGCTGCTGCTGCTGCCTTCCTTTCTGGAGTTCCAGGAAATCGCACACAGCACACGGAATTCTCTTCGCCTTCCTGCCCTCTTCCTCCAGTTCAATCCCCAACTCTCCTCGAGGACTTCCCCACACTTCTCTTAGCTGTCCTCTTGGCCACCCTACTGCCACACTGACTCACACCAGATTCTCCTTCCTGTCGTTTGTGATCATCAACTCCTGGCCGTCGGTGGCTCACTGCCAATGCAGTCCACAATTTACTGAGCACCTACTAGAGCCAGGCTCTGTGCTGGAGACAGAAGGAAAAACGAGAGAGATCCAGACAGCTCCTGACTTCACCTGCACTGGAATCTGATCAGGCCGCTCATGTTCTCTAGCATCGAGACGATAAAATCACAACCTCTCTGCGTGGTAAGCTAGCCTCCAGGGACGGCTTCCACCCACTAGTGAGTTTTACCTCCCATCTCGGAACCTCTTATCCAGCGCAGGAAACTGGCAGCAGTCCTGTGAATGCGCCCTGTTCCCTTGGATCCCTGTGCTCCTGCCAGACTGTCCTACCCATGGATGGATGGACGGCTGGACGCAGGGGCCTCGGGGACAGCCTGCCGACTCCACCTCCAGCTCCCTCTTTCTGCAGTATCTCCCATGGCCCCATGGCTTCTCTCAGACCCTCTCCTCTGGAATGTCAGAATCAGGGACTCTTCTCCTAGGCCTCGCGGCACTAGTAACTTCATTTTATCAATTATTCTAGCTTTTTTTTTTCTTTTTCTTTTTGGATCACACCTGGCGATGCACTCAGGAATCACTCCTGGCGGTGCTCAGGGGACCATATAGGATGCTGGGAATTGAACCTGGGTTGGCTGCGTGCAAGGCAAACGCCTTACCCGCTGTGCTATTGCTCCAGCCCCTTATTCTTGCTTCTTTTCATTGAATTGAATGCCTCTTAAGAGGCCATATCTGGGGCTGGAGTGATAGCACAGTGGGTAGGGCATCTGCCTTGCACACGGTCGATCCGGATTTGATTCCGACCATCCCATATGGTCCCTGAGCACTGCCAGGAGTAATTCCTGAGTGCAGAGCCAGGAGTAACCCCTGTGCATCGCTGGGTGTAACCCAAAAAGAAAAAAGGGTGGGGGGCATGCCTTACTGAGCTTTGTACTGGCAACACCTACTGTCATATCTCATAAACAACTGGGTTCTCACTACGTGCCTTTTATTTATCTTTGAACATTTTTCAGTAGCTCCTTCTAGATTGAATTAAAAACTAAGAGGACGGGCAGAGAGGTAGTACAGGTGCTTTCCTCGCATGGGGCTGACCGAGGTTTGATCTCCAGCACCACATAAGATCCCCTGAGCACTGAGCACTATCAGGCAGGGCCCAACCTACCCCCCCCCCCCCCCCCCAAGAAACAAGAGTAATGAAATAAATACACGCAACAAAAAAAATTATAAAGAAGGATTTTGAGGCAAAGAATATGCTATTTCTTGGAGTTTTGTGATTCATAAGCCTAAAATGAAGTGAGAAGGGCTGATGCAAGGAAAGAAGCTCGGAAACATTGAAAAGGACATTTTCCCTCTCGTGGGAAAGGCAGGAAAGTTGAATACTGCTGTCCTTTTCATCAGAAAGTAAGATCACCTCAGATCGAAGAGAGGACAAAAGCTACTGGGTAAGTGATCTGAAAGCTGGAAAGTTCGACAGAGAATCTACCTGGAAGAATACAGTGACTGAACAACAAGCATTAATATTATCAGAACGATTCAGGTGAGGGGTTGCAGGCATGAACTAGGTGATGACAAATTGCTTTTTAAAATTACGGTGTGGGCTGGAGCGGTAGCACAGCAGGTAGGGCATTTGCCTTGCACGCGGCCAACCCAGGTTCGATTCTCAGCATCCCATAGGGTCCCCTGAGCATCGCCAGGAGTAACTCCTGAGTGCAGAGCCAGGAGTTACCCCTGTGCGTCGCCGGGTGTGACCCAAGAAAGCAAAATAAATAAATAAATAAATAAATTATGGTGTTTGGGCCACAGTCAGCAGTCATCAGCGCTTCCTCTGGGCTGTGTACCCAGCTGTCACTCCCGGCAGAGCTGGGAGACCCTATGCAGTGATGAGGATCAACTGGGTCCATACAAGGCCAGTGCCGTCCCCATGGTACCATCTCTCCAAACCCCAATATTGCACTAGTTATTATTACTGGTTTGGGGGCTCTAGCTAGCAGTGTTTAGGGCTTCCTCCTGGCCCTGTACTTCTCAGGGATCACTTCTGATAGGGGCTCAGGGAACCATATGCAGTGCCAGGGACAGAAACTTCTGCCTTTACCAAGTGTTTATATGGCACTGGAACGAGTCGGACACAACCCAATCAAGTCCCCCGGACACAGAGCCCGAGGGCCTTCCCATCAGCACATTTTAACGCACGTGTGGACAGTCCCGCTTACCTGCAGTATTCTTGTGGCTTTCTGCTTGTAGTCAAGTAGCTCCTGCTTGGAGGACTCCAAGTTGGACTTGTACGTTTTGATTTGCTGCTGCAGTTCCTCAATCTTCTTCTTCTCATCGGAGTATTTTCTCTCTGCCAGAGTAACGGATTCTGCCAAATTCTGACGTTCCACTTCCATTTTATTAAGGCGTGCAGCATACTCACTCTGTGATACATTTTTTTTTATTATAGTTACATCATTTTTGACTTTTAGATGTACTTTACAACCATCCATTAAGATTATGTTTGTGTTTTTGAGCCAAACGTGGTGGTGCTCAGGAGCTACTTATGACAGTCCTGAAGGGTTACCCCTGGCAGTGCCAGGGATTGGACCAGGGAATCCTGCATGCCAAGCACGCATGCATGCGCACCATTCAGATATCTTATGGAATCTGTTAGGTCAGCTCAACCACATAGCAGGGAGTAAAAAAAAAAATTCATCTGTTAGGGACTAGAAAAGGATTCCCTACTGAGGCTGTGATTCTCAAACATGGCAATGCATCAAAATCAGTTAGGAAATCTATTAAAAATTCAGCCACCCAGGGCTGGTGCAATAGTACAGTGGGGAGGGCATTTGCCTCGCACACAGCTAACCCAGGTTTGATCCCCAGCATCCCATGTGGTCTCCCGAGCACACCCAGAGGTAATTCCTGAGTTCAGAGTCAGGAGTAACCCCTGAGCATCGCCAGGGGAACCCAAAAAGAAAAAAAAATCCAAACAACAAAAAACCAGCCACCCACATCCTTTCCCAGGCTTACTGAACTGGAATTTCTAGGACAGGGCTTGGGGTTCTGTTTAAGAGCTTTCCCCAGTGATGCTGCTCACTTGACTATTGTGACTGGTCGGATAATCAAGAGATAAAACGGTCTACGGAAAATGAGAAAGTCGACTAGGAAACAAAAGGATGAGGTACGAATTAGATCTTGGCCTGCTCGGAAGCGCGTGCTCTCCCTTGAACAACAGCTCGCTAGTCTGTATCTTGGCTTGCTCTTTCCACTCTGGAGAACCCTATGTTCTCCCTTAAACATGCACTTTCTCTCCTTCTCTCCCCTTGCAGCTAAGTCTATGTAAAAATTTGCTTCCCCAAAGAAGAAAAAAATAATCAGATCTTTTCTGTATCATGACTGTTTTTCCCTTTGTTTCAAATTTTCTAATGAGCTATTTAATGCAATTTTTGGGCCTAATAAATTGTAAAGCTGTGCCTGGGAAGCCCAGGGGCTCTCCCAGGCAATTCTTAGACAACGGGGGGATACAGTGATGCTGGTGCCCAGGGACCTCGAGCAGTGGTGCCCGGGTACCATGCAGTATGGGGAACTCAACTGGGGTCGGCCACATGCACGGCTCACACCTTAACCTGGTACTCTCTACCCAGCCCTTACATGGACGCAAAGTCTCCTATCACTATAAAACTCAGAAGGTGGGTCACGGAGTGACAGCACAGTGGGTCGGGCACTTGCCTTGCATACAGCGCCAACCCAGATTTGATCCCTGGAATCCCATATGCCCACCCCAACCTGCTTCCCAAGCCCACCGGAAGGGATCCTTGAGGTCAGAGCCAGGAGTAAGCCCTGAGCATCACCTAGCATGACCATAAAATGAAAAATAAAGAAACTTCAGAAGGAAGAAGTTAAAGAAGTTGCTTTTTAAGTTTTGAGGCCATATCTGACTATGCTCAAGAATTATCCCTGGCTCTGTGGTCAGGGATGACTCCTGGCGGGCTCGGGGGATCATGCAGAGTGCTGGAAATCAAATCCAGGTTGGCCACTTGCAAGGCAAACACTCAACCCACCGTCCACTCTGGCCCTGTCAAAACACATTTCTAACTGCACCAAGAATCAGAATGCCCACAAGCCTCTAATCTAACGTTAGCGCCTGTTTTGAAGGAAAGGAACTGTGGACTCTCGCTAATGTTTCTGGAGCATGTGGAGTATGTCCAATATAACTCAGATCTGAATTTTTGAAGTTTCATTCACTTTAAGTCTAAACTAATCCTTTAATTAATAACATCTATCGAGACATAATCTACACAGTCATAAAGCATCTTTAAGAAAAATATTGGGGCTAGTGTGATAGCACAGCAGGTCTGGTATTTGCCTGCATGCGGCCGACCTGGGTTTGATTCCCAGCATCCTATATGGTTCCCTGAGCACTACTAGGAGTAATTCCTGAGTGCATCAGCCAGGAGTATCCCCTGTACATCACTGGGTGTGACCCAAAAAGTAAAAAAAAAAAAAAAAAAAAAAAAAAGAAAAATACTGAGGTCCAGAGAGGAAGTATGGGGTTAAAGGTGTTTGTCTGGCATGTGGCTAAGACCTGGACACTTGGCACTGCCCACGGTCCCAAGTGGGCCCTGAGCACAGAGGCAACGGTAGGCCCTGACCACTGCCAGGTGTGGCCCAACCCACTCCCCTCTAAACGCAGTTGTGCGGGCCATTTCTGGTGGTGCTCCCGGGACAGGACCACACCCAGAGATGCCAGAAGGCAGGAGATGGGGGTCACACCTAGCGGCCAGGGCAGCTTGGGATCAGCCCAGGGCTCCTGTGCTCCGCCCACTGGAGTCACATGCCCAGCTCTTTTGATGTGTTGGATCCAGTGGGATTTTAAAATATTCAGAATTTTGTGATCGTTACCGCCAGTTTTATTTCAGAACATTATTACCCCCGAAAGAAATCCTCTACCCGTTCCTTCTTCCCTGCCAGTCCTAACAACCATTCACCTACCTTCTCTATAGATTTGCATGTTCTGGACATCCTATATAAATACAAGCATTTTATAAGTCTGCCTTCTTTTTCTTAGCGGAGAATCTTAAAGGTTACTCCATCCATTAGTATGAATCGATAGTTTACTCTTTCTTCTTGTTGAATGATACCTCCTTTACGTGGATAAACCATGTTTTGCTTATCCAGTTAGTGACTATTGACAAGCACATTTTTATCCAGTTTGGGGCTATTATAATAATGCATGTAAGTATGTTTTTTGAGCACAGAACCAGGAATAGCCCTGAACACCGCTGTGTGTGATCCCCAAAATAACATTTTCTCCCAAAGAAATTAAAAAACTAAACCAGAATCAGACAAAACTATGTCAGGAAAGATATAGCACAACTGGTAAGGAGCTTGCTTTGCATGTGGCTGACCTGGGTTTAATCGCCAGCATCCCATGTGGTCCTTCCTGAACACCACTAGGAGTTATTCCTGAGAGTAGAGTCAGAAGTAAGCCCTAAGCATTATTGGGTATGGCCCCCAAACTAACAAAAACAACAACAAAAAGAACCAGACAAAACTTAAAAGAATAAAAAAGAGGCCCAAACATAGTGTTGGCTGCACAATCAAATTAAAAGATGTCAGGAGGCTGGAGCAATGTAGAGCGTTTGCCTTGCATGTGGCTGACCCGTGTTCGATCCCCAGCATCCCATTTGGTCCCCCGAGCACTGCCAGGAGTGACTCCTGAGTGCAAAATCAGGAGTGAACCCTGAGCACAGCAGGGTATGGCCCCCAAACAAAACACGAACAGAAGAGATGTACTTTAGATACTTTAACTCTATTTTTATACATGCAATGAAATTATTTTGGCAGGAGTCAAGCTAATGTTTCAAACCTATGTTCTCACAGAACCTGAACTTTGGGAAATGAGCTGGGAAGACTGAAATAGGTCGGGTAGCAGCACAAAGCCCCACCCCAGCTGACCTGCATCTGTTTATAGCTCTCCTGCTCTCTCTTCAGCGTGGCGTCTGCCTCATGAAGTCTCTCCTGAAGAGTTTGCAGGGCTTGATTCTGCAGGCTACTCCCTTCGCTGTGATCCTGAATTATCCTAAAAGAGAAGACTGTTTGAAATACCTCATTTCCACAACAGACAAGCAGTAGCAAGAGTTAATTTTTCAGAAACCTTGGCTTGTTAGTATAAAAAAGATGGTTGGGGCTGGAGCAATCGCACAACGTGGAAAGGGTGTTTGCTCTGCATGTAACCTACCCGGGTTCGATCCCCAGCATCCCATATGGTCCCCGAGCACTGACAGGAGTGATTCCTGAATGCAGAACCAGGAGAAACCCCTGAGCATCGCTGGGTGTGACCCAAAACAAACACACAAACAAACAAAAGATGGTGGTGGTGGTGGGGGGGGTTGCTGGAGACATAGTACAGTGAGTAGGGTGTTTACTTTGCATGCAGCCCACCCAGGTTTGATCCCCAACATGCAACATGGTCCCCAGAGCACTGTCAGAAATGATTCCTGAGTATAGAGCCAGGAGTAACCCCTGATCATTGTCGGGTGTGGCCTCAAAACCAAAGAAAGATGGTTGGGGGCAGCTGACCCTGGTTCGATTCCTGGCACCTCTTATGGTTCCCCAAGCCCCGACAGGAGTGATCCTTGAGCACAGAGTCAAGAGGAAGCGCTGAGCACTGGTGGGTGTGGCCCTCAAACAAAAACAAAACAAAAAAAGATGGCTGGATGGTTCTTAAAGAAACCTTTTCCCTTTTTAATGGCATTTAAGCTGTATTTTTAGTATCGGAATAGAACCACGTATCATACATCATGAAAAACACCATACTCTTCAATTCTAAAATTCAGAATTTGGGGGGCCAAAGCATTAGTACAGCGGCTAGGGCGCTTGCCTTGATGACCCAGGTCCAGTCCCAGTGTCTTATATGGTCCCCAGTGTGCACCTCCAAGAGTAATTTCTTGAGTGCACAGTCAGGGGTTATCCCTGAGCATCGCTGGGTGTGGCCCCCAAACAAAAAGCAAACAAATAAATAAGTATACTTCTCTAGCATTACTGCAGCACTGTAGCACTGTCCTCCCGTTGTTCAGCGATTTGCTCAAGTGGGCCCAGTAACGTCTCCACTGTGAGACATGTTGTTACTGTGTCTGGCATATCGAATACGTCACGGGGAGCTTGACAGGCTTTGCCGTGCGGGTGAGATACTCTCAGTAGCTTGCCGTGCTCTCTGGAAGGGGCAGAGGAATCGAACCTGGGTCGGCAGAGTCGGCTGCGTGCAAGGCAAATGCCCTACCAGCTGTGCTATCACTCCAACTCCAGCATTATCCAAAGCTAAATATTCTTTTAGCAAAAGCTAAAGTTTACGAAGGGAGGAGACAGCCCAATGCTTAGGGCTAGACAGTGGTGGTGGTGGTGGGGAGACTCATTCTGGCTCCCCTGGGGCCATTAGGACAATCAGCTACCGTGACTTTTCACTCTGTAAGGCTTCCAGGGCCTCGGTGCGCGTCTTCAGCAGCTGGTCGGCCTCCTGCAGGCGCACTTTCAGCACGGCCAGCTGGGAGTCCTTGGCGGCCACTGCCTCTGTCAGGTCATCCACCTGCGCACGCAGCTCCCGAGTCATGCGGTCACTCTTGGAATGGTCATCATTCCACTTCTCCACTCTTGCTCTTGCTTTGTTCAATTCTTAAAACAACAACAACAACAACAACACAGGTTCTCTGTAAGTAAAACACAGCTTTCTCAGAGCACACAAACACCTCTTAGTCCCTTTAGTGCTTATTTCCAAAATTAGGAGTTTACAAATATGTTCCTTTTCTTGTTGGGCGGTGGTTGTTCCAAAAAGTACGTCCATTTTTCAAGACTAACAGTCACATGGGTAGGACAGTTAATATGCTGGAAAGGGACATGAAGACAGTTGCTCTGCCAAATGCTTCTTTTTTCCCCATAAAGTTTTGGGAAATCAAAACTTATGAGAGTTCACAAGCTAAGATGATTAGTGGGTGTGTAGAGATCTGCTACATAATTTGTGTGTGTGCTTTTGCTTTTAGGTCACACCTGGCATACTCAGGCGTTACTCCTGGCTCTACACTAAGGAATTACTCCTGGCAGGCTTAGGGGACCATATGGGATGCTGGGCATCGAACCTGGGTCAGCTGTATGTAAGGCAAATGCCATAGCCACTGTATTATCACTCTGACCCTGCAGTAGATAGTTAGGATAATACAAATCCAAATCAGAGGAAAATGTATCTCCATCCCCAGAAGACCTAGACAAACAAAATCAAAACCCAATGATAAACACAGGAATAAGCCAAGCCTATTTCTTCTAATTACCATGGCAAAAAGATTTCACTTTTCAACACAGGTGCAAAAAAAAAAAAAAAAGACAATGAAATGCAGATTTACATTCCCTCCTACATATGTCATCTACAGTTAAAATTCGCTAGCAAAACAGCAATTTTGAGGGACTGGTGCCACAGGACAGCAGGTAGGGTGTTTGTCCTGAACGCAGCCAAGCAGGTTCGATCCCCGGTACCCATGGGGTTCCCCAAGCCCCACCAGGAGCGACCCCTCAGCACAGAGCAGGCAGTAAGCCCCAAGCACTGCTGGGTGTGTGGCCCCAAAGTAATACTGAAGCAACTTTACTATGTCTCAGAAAAGCTCTGTGTCTACGGCAGTCTGGGCAGAGTGAAACTTCTTGGCCGGGTGGGCTCTGAACCACACTCAGCTGGACTCAGCTCTTGCTCCTGGCTGTGCGCTCAGGCGACCATATTCTGTGAAATATGCGTCAGCAGCACGCAGGCAACACTTAACCCTGTACTGGCGCTCCAGCCTCAAGGTCTTTTCTCAAGTCAATGTAATATTCTTCGGTCCTCCATCGACTGGTTGGTAAAACTTTTCTACCTGCCCCATGTTCCTTTCTAATTACCTCCTGGATCCCAGGCAGAAAGTCCTCTTCTGTTTTCTCGTTAGACTGGGGGAATTCTTTATTCCTAATGACCTACTTCTGAAGAACAGAGGCTACTCCAGGGCAGCCTACGTGCCCTATTCCAGACCACTACTCAAACTGACCCCCGGGTTCATCCGATGGCCCTAAGCAGAGTGACAACGTGACCTGGCTACCAGGGCCCACGACTCCGTTTGATCCCATCGGTGGTTCCTGAACAGGTCTGAACTTGCAGGTGCAGGATAAAACAATCAATTGAAACAGACCGTAAGCTGTTAGTGGTCTGTTCTTTGGGGTCCTTAAATGTCATGGCTCTAGAGGAATGACCAAACCAACCGACACTGGCTTCTGGGTTTGGCAGGAGGGCCGTCGGTCCTATTGCCAAGTCCGGAGCCTATTTACGCTATGAAAACGCTACTTCACAACTCTCACACATTAATCCAGTTTTCCACACAAAATTCCTAATCCTGGATAATTCCAATGAGGCCCTACCTTCTTGAGTTTCCTTGGATCTTTGAAGTAAGGAGGCCATTTCTTGATTCAAAGACTGAACTTCGTTCCGCAGTAGCTGATTCTCCAGCCGGAGGTTCGACAGCTCGTGTGATTTTCCATCATCACTAGACGCTGGGCTGGGATCCGTGTAGGCAGCAGTGGATGATTCATTTTGTTTTGCGGAATCCTCTTGGCTTTCGTGGTCAGAATCTGTATTAGAAGTTTCTGTTTAAAAGAAAAAAAGAACAGGAATACATTTTCATGTCAGAGGAAGTCTCATTAGATATACACTGATTTCCTTTGGGACACAGCCTTTTACTCGAGTGGGGTGTGAGAGCTAAAATATCTTAACATGTAAGCTTCAATTCCAAGTATTCTGCCGCCTGCTTAAATTTCCCCTATGTACATGGAGCCTGGGATCCATTATGGATACAAAGGCCTTTAAGGTCCTTAGCATACAAGATCTCCAAGGCTGTCCTAAGTATTCTGTTTGGATATTCTGAATAAAAGCGTAAAGGGCACAACAACACAATTCTAGAAAGAGAAAATCAGAGCTAGCTTAAGTGGCTGGGTACAGACTAAAGAAAGGTTTCGGGAAAGTATGGGGAAGGCTGGAAACAGCACAGGAGGCAGGGCAACTTGTCCTGCATGCAGCCAGTGACCACGCTGGATCGACTCCTGGTACCATACCTTGTCCCAGGAGTACCACCAGGGGTCACTCCTGAGCAAAGAACCAGGATTAGGCCCTGTGTACTGTCAAGTGTGGCCCAATCCATTCTTCCCCAAAATTAATTTAAAAAATTTTTTGATTGTTTTGAAAACAGAAGTCAAAGAACAGAGTCAAAGAACAGAACAGGAGCACACACTTGGCAGGCAAGAGGCCTGTGTTTGATTCCCAAATCCATTCCCAGCACTGCACTGGCACTGCTGGGTACAGTTCAAAGCTTTAAAAAGAGGGGAGCTAGTACACATGCTTTGCATGCAGGAGGTTCAACCCCTGGCCACTCCATGATCCCCAAGTACCCCCAGGAGTGACTCCTGAGCACTGGTTTTCCTTTTCTAGGAACCATCTTTGAAAAACAGAGAAGTCTTAACATTGCCGATTTGTAGCAGGAAGGCACAAAGAGCAGCTGTGGGCTTAAGCCAAGGACAGTAATAACAAATGAGAGCAAATTTTTATACACCAAGCTGGAATCCAAAATGCCTTGCCCAGAGAGACAGAGACAAATGAATTCAGATTCATTTTGCTTTACAAATATACTGCTTATTTACTCCTAAAAGCAGCCGTTAAATGCCAGGGAGATGGTACACGGAGAGGGAGGAGCCTGCTTGGCACACCCAGGCTGACCTGGGGGATCCCCAGCAAACGGTTCCCCGGGCATCGCCAGGAGATCCCTGAACAGAGCCAGGATTCCACCCTGAGCACAGCTATCTGGGCCCATATTTCCCTCAAAAATTGTGTGTACTGGGGGGCTGGAATGACAGAAAAGTGGGGAGGGCGTTTGCCTTGCACTCGGCCAACCTGGGTTCGATTCCCAGCATCCCATATGGTCCCCTGAGCACCGCCAGGGGTAATTCCTGGGTGCAGAGCCAGGAGTAAACCCTGAGCATTGCCAGGTATGACCCAAAAAGCAAAAAAAAAAAAAAAAAAAAAAAAAGCTTGTGTTTTTAAAAAATATGTATAAATGATAAAGCTAACCATACAAAGACATGTACAAAGAGCACCACTGGGTATAACCCAACCCCCCCATGCCGCCCCCCCCCCCCCAAAGAATGTGCTAGACCATGAAAATTTTAACGCTGAGCTCTAGCAAATATCTGGAATAAAAAGATGAGCCATATCAAATATTTACAACAAAAAGAACAGAATACTTCCCTATTCATTTTACAGGGCTAACGTAACCGTAACACTAAAACTTAAAGATCTTGTGTCACTCTCCTGTCTTCCGGGCTTACTATGGCACTCTGAACTTTTACTGAGCTGGAGGAAAAAACAAGTCAGATTCTCTGGCTCCATCCTCAGAAAATCTGACTTTGAAGGCCTGTGGAAAGACTCAGTAATTCATTTATTACTAATCACCGAAGTAATTTGAATGCCGGATAGCCAGGAGCCACTTCTTGGAGAAATGATGGTTTATAGGAATAAACCAGTTTAAGTAACCAAACAACGGCATATAAGAGGCTTTTCCTTCAACTTACAACGGTCTCTGCTGGCTTAATTTTCTTCACGGCCATCCAGGACTTTTAAAACCGTTTTTCACCTTACCACTTTTCAAGATTTTGCATAGAGGACTGGAGAGATAGTCCAGTGGGGAAGGCACTTGTCTTGTATTACCTGACCCGGGTTTGATCCCCGGAATCCCATCAGGTCCCCTGACCACCACCATGAGCAATCCATGAGCGCAGAACCAGGATGACCTTTGAGCATCACTGGGTGTGACCAAAAAGTTAAATTTAGAGAAAATAAAGAATCTGCATGGGCTGTTGTCTCCAACCCTTGTTTGTTCCTGGACAATGATTCATTTTTAAAGACCCAGCTCAAATTACAGACCCTAACTGAATTCTCCACTGACTACTTCCCCCCCCCCCCCCACAATTAAACCACTGTAAGATACATAGTTACAAAGTTATTCAAGCTTGGGCTTCTATCATCCAACGTTTCAGTATCAGTCCTTTACCAGTGTACATTTCCCACCACCAATGTCCCGGTTCCCTCCTTCCACTGGGCAGCCCATCTGCCTTCACGGCAGGACTTTGCTCTTGGTCTCCTCCCCTCCCCTCCCCTCCCCTCTCCTTTTCCCCCCCTTGGGGGCATTGCGTTTTGCAACACTGTTACTGAAAGGTCACCATGTGTATCCCTTTATTTCCTTTCAGTTCTCAGTTCTATCCAAGAGTGACCATCTCCAACTATCACTGTCATAGTGGTCCCTTCTCTGTCCTAACTGCTTCCCCACACCCACTGGTAAGCTTCCAACCATGGACCCGTCCTCCTGTCCCTCATTTCTACTGTTCTTCGGTAACAGTCTCCTACTATGTTTTAAAAATCCCACAAATGAGCATGATCACTCTTTGCCCCTCTCCTTCTGACTTGTTTTACTCACGAAACTCGCCATGTCCATCACCTGATACTTTAAGCACCAAGCTACTCTTCCTGGGCTTCCATACCACTCACAGCCCGATTACAGTGTTTATTAATTACAGCATGTAACTCTCTGTTTGGGTATTTATCTTGCCCACTAACAATAACCTTCCTCTTCTGAATCTTGACACCCAGCATATTCTCAATGAATGCCTACATAACTAATCAAAGCACAGCTAAGAAATTTACGAGTACACAGATATAATTAATCAACTGCTACTCCAGCTCTCTCTTTACTGTTATTCTGCAGAGCTGGGGACTGAACCCAGGACCTTGAGGATACAAAGCAAGTGCTCTCCTATACAACTTCTGTTTTTACCTTTAAAACACAGACTGGCGGGCCAGCAGGTAGGACACTTGCCTTGCATGCAGCTGATGCGGGTTTTAATCCCTGGCACCCCAAACTGTCCCCCAAGCCCACCAGGAGTAATCCCTAAGCACAGAGTCAGGAATAAGCCCTAAGCACTGCTGGGTATGACCCCAATGCCAAAAAATAAAATACAGTCTGGCTGGGGATGTAGTTAGTTCACATGAAAGCGCATATTTTGCAAGCCTGAGGTTCTAGTACTTAAGAATACTGGCACAGGGGCCTGAGAGATGGTACAGCAGGTAAGGTATTGCCTTGCAGGAGGCAGACCAGGTTCAATCCCTGGCACTACCAGGAGTGATTCCTAAGCACAGATTTAGGAGTAAACCCCGAGCACTGAGTGTCGCCCAAACACCCCTTACACCCTTCCCCGGCCTATAAAAAGAAGAACATGGGAACAGGAATTAGGAACATGGCTCAATGATCTAGAATGTGTGAGACTCTGGGTTCAAAAATAAACAAAACTTTCCAAGAGATTCCTGCAAGAATGTATCTTGTCGGGACTGCAGAGATAGTATAATGGACAGAGCACTTCTCTTTGATCCTCATCATCCTTGAGCACAGTCAGGAGGATAAACAACAACAATAACAAAAAGGGGGGCAAAGAACTTGCATGTTTACTATTTTAAAAGGCTAGGCAGATACTGAATTAGCCACACTACTGTGCTAAACTCATTTTGTAGGTAAGCAGATACACAGTAGAGGTAATTTCACAGCCCCATAACTGTAAACCAGAATGCTTAGCTCTTAATTCACTGCCTTCCACCGTTCAGCTTGAATTAGAGTTTAATTTCTCAGCTTTATTTCTGGGGGATGCTGTAGAAAAGGAAAAGGAAAAACAACAACAACAACAAAACAACAACAAACGAAAACCTAAACACTCATAGGGTCTGGGATGTGGCTGAGAGGGAGAGCACCTGCTTGCAGAAGTGAGACTACAGGCCTGGAATGATAGCACAGCAGGGAGGGTGTTTGCCTTGTACGCAGCTGACCCAGGTTCAATCCCCGGCATCCCACAGGGTCCCCCAAACACTGCCAGGAGCAGTTCCTGAGTGCAGAGCCAGGAGAAACCCCTGAGCATTGCCTGGGTATGACGCAAGAGGCAAAAAAAAAAAAAAAAAAAAAGTGAGACTACATTTGACCCCTGGCAACCTGCCCGCTCCCAGACACACATCACCAAGCACAATCGTGGCAGTAGTGTGATGTGCCTTCTCTCCATTAACTAAGCCCAGAGAGCACACGGGAAGGTATGTGTTAGCTCCACAACCAAGTGTGCAAGCGCTGATTCCCACAGCAACAACAAGGAGAAGAGGACAAAAGAAAAAAAAATAAATAAAACCTCACAGTCCAGATTATGTATTAAATACGTCCCCATCATTTTTATAATCCCAATGACAATAAACAAAAACAAACACTGTCCTCCCGTTGTTCATCGATTTGCTCGAGCGGGCCCAGTAACTTCTCCATTGTGAGACTTCTTGTTACTGTGTTTGGCATACTGAATACTCTCGGTAGCTTGGCAAGCTCTCCGAGAGGGGCGGAGGAATCGGAATCGAACCCGGCTCAGCTGAGTTGGCTGCGAGCAAGGCAAAAGCCCTGCCGCTGTGCTATCGCTCCAGCTCCCCCAATGACAATAACTCAAATGAAACAGTTCCAAATCCAAAAGGCTTTCATTTCTTTCCGATTCCAATTTTCCACCTTAAGCTATCTCAGAGACATAACTGTTGTCGTAACTTTTTTTTCCTCGTTTTTTTTTTTTTTGGGGGGGGGTAGGCGTCACACCTAGCTGTGCTCGTTTTATTTCTGACTCTGCGCTCAGGGATCACTCCTGACAGGTTCAGGGGAGCATTCGAAGTGTTGGGGATCCAGCTGGGGTCAGTCATGTACAAGGCAAGTGCCTTAGCTGCAATACTCTCGCTCCAGACCCAACAACTTTGTAGGTGCTGGGCTGGGTACCATGGTCCCACAGACCATCAAAGGTCCCAGTCAGAGCTGTGTAATGACCGACAGTACTTCGCCAAGCTGTCAGCCTTGTAATCAGCACACACTTAAGAACCTCTCACACCAGTGGAACTGTTAGGCAGGGCGTTTGCCTTGTATGCAGGACTGTTAGGAGAAATGCTACCAGAATGTTTTAGGCTTCAAGGACACATCCAGCTGGCTTAATTCCAAAATAAATAAGAAAGGCCCGAGTGACAACACAACGAGGAAAGGTGTTTGTCTTCCATGCAGCCACCCAGGTTCAATTCCCGGCATCCCATACAGTCCGCCAGGAGTGACCCCTAAGCACAGAGCCAGGAGTAAGTCTTAAACACAGCCAGGTGTGACCCAAAAGACAAAAAAAAAAAAAAAAGTAAATAAATAAAATTTAGAAAGAATGAATGAATCAAGAGGGCTGGGGTGGGGATACAGCTCAATGGTGCACTGGAAGTATGGGGACCTGGGCTTGAACCCTGGTTTTGCAAAAACAACAATAAAACAAAAATAAAAAAGCTAATTAAACAGCAATACGCACAAGTCAAAAACTCCAAGGAGGCTGACTACGTACCCCGGCTTTCGCTCCGAGGATTTTCTTCGGTGGTTTTGACAGCGGTGTTACTGGCGTTCACAGAACTGACACCTGCCTGAGAATTCAGGGGGGCAGGTGCCTTGCCCTTCTCTTTCTTGATCTCTACCCTCCCGGCAGGCTCCTTCTGGGAACTATTAAGAAAATCAAACAGCAGCTCATCATCTGGCTCTGACTTTTTCCTTCGGACAAACTGGGACGAAGGCCGAGGAACAGTGGCGTTTTCAGCAGTCGGGGAGGTCTCCGCAGAGGTCCGAGATGCTTTCACGTTGGCGGTGCCAGCTAAGAGAGTGGCTTTTTGATTTCTAACGTTGTCCGCTGCTGCGGAAATATACGAAGCTTTGGTTCCAGTCTGGTAGGTCTGATGTGTGCTCTGCTGGTGGAGTTCGGGATAGTCCGTATTTCTGTTGTATTTGGTGCTGTTGCTGTTCTCTTTCCTGCTAAGTGCTGTTGCAGCCCCTTGGTCAACTCGGTTTAAAAGATCTTCTGCCTTTCCTGCAAGGTCAGCAAACCAAGACATGATGGTCGCCGAAGAATCCTACTTGTGACCCTGTGAAAAGGACAAACGGATCAATGTGAAACCACAGACTGTGTGGTGAAGGCCACGGAGGCAGAGTCCTGGGTTGAAACCCTAACCCTGCTCTTCTTAACCATGGAACCTTGAGCTAACCACTTCCCTGAAACCGAGAATCTCTACAAGTGAGGAAAGCAAGGATACTCACATTACTGGACAGCCTAGGAAGATGCAAAAATACTTGGCAAAACAATCTGATACACAGTCAGCCCTCATTTTAGTACTGGCTTTGCCCTAATTATAACCACCACTATTATTATTCCAAGTAAACAAAGTGCAAAACTTAGGGCTAGAGAGATAGCAAGCGGGTTAAGGAACTTGCTTTGAACGGGGCTGACCCGGGTTCAAATCCTGACACCATATATGGTCCCCCAAGCAGTACCAGGAGTGGCCTCTGCGCTTGGAGCCAGGTATAAGCCCTGAACACTGACTAGTGAGGCCTCAACACAGAAAGAAGGGAAGAAGTAAAAATTAATCTAGCAAAAACATCCAAATGTATCCAATAATCAATAACAAGATTCTGATCTACACAAATAAAAACAAATGATTCTCTGAAGTTTACTTCAAGCTACCAATGTTTGAAAAAAAACTTCTGATTCATAGTAAGTTAATGTAAAACTGCAGCCCTAGGAGTGCTGGGGATCATCTCCAGGTGGAAGCCTGCCTCGCCTGCCGAAAACCCTAATTCCACCCTGAGACCACATGGTCCCAAGCACTGGCAGGGGTCAGTCCTGAGCACAGGGCCAGGAGCAGCTCCTGAGTACCGCTGGGTTTGGCCTCAACTCCACCCGCCCCCTCCAGAAAAAAACTCAACCACCGTTTCTTAGCCCTTCAGACTTTTCCTCTGGCCTGCCTGGGGGGCTTCTTTCCGGATGCATTTCCGTGGTCTCCACTTGCATGGCATCTGTTCTTAAAAACAGCTTCTTAAGTGGGGGTCCCATCGGCCCTGGCTCGTGCCCTCTCTTTCCCGACAGGGCCCTTCAGGTTTGGTTTGCTTTCTTTTTTTCTCTCTCCGCGTCCAGCACGGAAGGGGGTGGAGCGAAAGCCATGTCCCGTTTGCTCTGGGGCACTCCCTGCCCCGGGCATATACGGCAGGTTGGCACCCACAATTCTCCTAACCCTGAAAGAGCCTTGAATGTGGCACTTTATAAAATCTCAGGGCTAGGACGAAGGAGATGTTACTGGTGCCTGCTCAAGGCAACCCACGAACAACAGGATGATCGTGATCGCGATCAGCACCCATAAATTCTGCTGCAAGCAGTCCTGTCCAAGTGCCAGCTGCCTTGTCATCCACCGTTTCACGCTGGGGGGGTGGGCGGGGGTGGGGTGGGGGGAGGTCTGGACAGATCCTAGAGCCGGGAGGGGCGCGCCCAGGCTCCCATCTGGGTTAGCCAGAACCACCTGGACGCAGCCCTCGTCTCCCCGCTTCTCAGTACCTAAACCAAGTCGGAAAATTAGAAACTCGCCCTTCCAGCCGCGCTCCTTACGGAACCGGACCACCACCAGCCCAGGGGTGGGGGGGGGGGGGGGGTCGCACAGCGGGCACGACGTCAATCAAATGCGGAGAGGGAGAGGTTGGGCAGCGCACCGGGCTCCCCGCGCACGCCCACCGGTAGTGGCTGCAGGGTGCCAAGGCGGACCCCAAACAGAGGAGAACACCCTGAACACAGACGCCAGCGTTCGCCCACGTCCGAGTGGCTGTTTTAGGGGCCAGCCAGGCCGCGCGTTCGCTGCTCCCGGCTGGCCTCGTCCTTTGCAACGCACAAACGCCAACGTCCAGCTTTGCACAAGCCCCCGACGGGCCGGGGCGGGGGCGGGCCCGCAGGCTGGGGGCGCGCGGCCCGGGCCGGGGGTTGTTAATCACCAGGACGGGCCTAGGAAGGCGAACACACCCCCCACCCTCGGCTCGCTGTCCAACCGCCTCTCCCGGCGGGGCAGCCACCCAGCAGCACCGGGCCGAGGGGGCGGTCGGAGCTTGAGGGCACGACGCCGGGGGTCCCCGCAAGCCCGGCGTCTCACCTGACCACTCTGCGGGGGCTACCCCGCGGCCGCCCGGGGGGGGGGGGTCCGGCCCGAGGGACGCCAGCACCGACCGGCCTCCGCTCCAGCGGCGCCGCGCTGCTTCCGGGAGACGTGGAAGGGCGGCCAGGACCCCAAAACAGAGCGACTTCCGAGCTGCCTGATTGGAGGGGGGCTGCAGGGCGGCCGCCGGCACGCACTTCATTCAGGCGGTGGCTCGGGCGGCTATGGGGTCCTGCTGAGCCACGCCCCTTTTCCGCCGGCGGAGGCGGGGCTGCGTGCTCGTTTCCGGGGACCGGACACCTGCGCGCTGCCTGGAGCGCAAAGGAGGTCCCGCCTACTACAGACCACGTGATTAAACCGTAGGTGGGCCCCGCCCACTACTGCTCACGTGGGTGGCCGAGGCTGGGCCCCGCCCACTGCCGCCTAGGTGGGTGAGCAGGACTAGGCCCCGCCCACTGCTGCCCCTGTAGGGTGACCGAGGCGGGGCCCCACCTGGGAGGAATTTGAAGACGCGGCTGGGTGGCTTGTGGAACTCAGGTAAACCTTCACCCGACACCTTTCCGTTTTCCTAACCTGTTCCTTGGATTGTACAGATGAGGATTCTCGTGATCACCGCGGGATGCGTGTAGAATAGTTAAACCGTATGCCAGGGGCTGGGGAGATGGCTAAGCATCCTACCCCAATCCTACAGGTAGGGGGCTTTGCTTTGCACGCTACAGACCCGGGTCCATCCCTGCATCCCATATGGTCCCCTGAGCACCGCCAGGAATGATGTCTGAGTGCAAAGTCAGAAGTTACCCCTGAGCATCGTCGGGTGTTGGCTCCAAAGCTTAAAAAAACCGGTGCCTGATTTCACTCACTTTCTAGTGCCTGTTAATAAATAAATTGATGAGATAGTTTCGCAGGGTACCAGAACTGGAAGTAAACAGTAAGTTTATTGGTGGTAGAGAAGTACTTTATGATCATTTATTGGAAATAAGTACTCTACTCTGAGCTCCACCCCCTGTCCCTGGATTAAGTACTGTTATTTTATTTTTTTTTTAATGTCCCCAGTTTCCCTCCGGTCCCCTCCCCCACTCCCACCTCTATGGGGGCCCTTCTCTCTCTCTCTCTCTCTCTCTCTCTCTCTCTCTCTTCTCTGGGGCCTTGTGGTTTGCAATAGATACTGAAGGGTTCACCGGTATATCTCTTTACCTACTTTTAACACTTAGTTCCTATCCAAAATGATCATTTCCATCTACTGTCCCACTGGTTCCTTCTCTATCCTAACTGCCCTTTATCCCCCAGACATTCTTGTGGCCAGCTCCCAACCATTGACCAGACTTCATGGCCCCTGTTTTCCCTGGCCTTGGAGATTAGTTTTATAAATATATTTTTTCTATCCCACAAATGAATGCAGGTATTCTATGTCTGTCCCTCTCCTTCTGACTCATTTCACTCAGCATGGATTAAATGTGGAGAGGTGTCTAACAAGGTCATTTTTTGTCTGAGAATCAAAGCACGGAGTGGACTCTCTATGCTACAGTATTGTAGTTATGCATACTGTTCCTTTCAGAATTTCTCTACAATCCACTATCAGTGATTCAACAAATACTCAGTTGTTACCTGTTCTCTGCATTGGGCAACTTGGTCCTAACGACAGACTGTAACATAGCCCCCAAGAATCCTCATTTTAAGGTCCTGGAAATTGAAACTCAAAGAAGTTAAGAAACTTGTGTAAGGTCATTTACTCCTTAAAGATATCCCTTACCCTTGCAGTCCAGTAAAACATTGGGAGGAATTCTTTTCTGTTGTCCTTTCGTTCTTTCTTTGTGTTGGGTTCCTATGCCACAGCTTTCGTGCTGCAGCTGCTGAATGACTGAGCACATACCAATGGCTGTGCTTCTGGAGCCCTGAAGCTCTGCTCTCAGCTGGGCACCATTGGCAGCTTCCAGCAGCACCAGCCTCTGCGCCTGTAAGCAGCCCAACTCAAGGCTGCAGCTCTAGCAGCATCTCAACTAAAAAGTATGACCACCACAGCCATGAGGTGTGACCCCCTCCACCCCCCCCACACACAAACACTGAGTGAATGTGTGAGCAGCACAGCCAGTCAAGTGGGGAGCACAAGACTCAGAGTATGCCTGACCTTCACAATGAAAAGGGTCCACTCCCCAGGGGTGCGTGTGCCAGTGTGCCAGCTAATGGAGTGGTGACCCTGGACAGCCAAGTGTGGGAGCAGCCCAATCCTTTCTGCAACAGCTAAATGTTATGTTTGACCCCCACCTCCAGCAACACCCCATGATCACCACAGCAAAGACATTGAGAAGGGAAGGGGAAAGGGAGAGGAGAAGGTGTGTTTCCGTCATGTGTGGCTCAGGTGGCTTGACCCTGGTTTGAATCTCCGGCACCACCTTGAGTCCCTTGAGAATCACAGGAGTCACTTTTGAACACAGACCCAAGAAGAATAGGCCCCCGAGAACTGCTGGATGTTCTCAGCCCTCTCCCCCGAAAGGTTTGAACAAGTCTTATGTTTTGTTGGTTAGTTGGTTTTAGGTCACATCCCGCAATGCTCAGGGCTTACTCCTGGATCTGTACTCAGAGTTCACTCCTGGTGGTGCTCAGGGGACCATATAGCTGTGCTGGGAATTGAACCAGAGTCAACTGTGTGCAAAGCAAATGTCTTACCTGCTGTGCTATTGCTCCAGCCCCTCAACAAGCAGCCCTTTATTGCTACTTCTAGAAAGATGAGGTCAAGAACTTTGTGATCCTCTTGCCAAGAAATAATGACAAATGCACAAAGTTGTGATTCAGACCATTGTTTCAAAACTCAGAAAATTGACCACATGCAAGACAGAAATGAAGAAGGGCCAGAAAGATAGTTCAACAAGTAGGGAGCTTGCCTTGTACATGACCAACCTTGGTTCAAACCTGTCATCCATTCTATACAGTCCCTTGAGCCCTCCAGGAGTGATTCCTGAGTGCAGAGCCAGGAGGAATCCCTGAGCATCCTTGAGTGTGGTCAAAAACAAAACAAAAACAAAAATGAAGCATTATAAAAGCGGAACCTTAAGTAAGAGTAGTAAGTGTTTCGGACAACCTCACCCAAGAAGGGAAGAGCCTCACTCAAGATAGGATGAACCTCAGTGGAGAGCAGACTGGCAGGAAAACCCAGGTACATGGGAACCCATGACTGAGATCTCCAAGCCGGCTCAGATGGGGACTCGGCCTCCTCCTCCCAGCTCCCCAGTGTTCCAGTAGTTTAGCAGTCATACCCACAAACTGGCCCCAGTGTGATACAAACTCAACAATGGCCAAGACCCAGAGACTATAAACTAAAGCTCCCGGAAGAGAGCACTGCAGAATTTCTGGAGTATGCGGCTGCATTGGCGGCCTTGCAACCTCTTATACTTGACCTCACTTACTTATCAAAAGTATCACACATTTGTTTGGTTTCTAACATACTTGCTTGTATTCTCTTATATTCGGGCTTAAATGGCTCCAGAATGAAATGCAGCAGCCCTCACACACCTCTTATTGTGGTGGGAAGGTGCTTGGTGATGGGACTGGTGTTTGAATATTATCTGTAATGAACTACTGTGAACTACTTTTATGAAAATAAAATATATATATATATATAAAGATTAATGAACGTTTTTGACACTTGAGCCAGGAAGGGCTTCCAAAGGCCTCCTCCACCTCCACCTCCTTGTGATCTAGTGGTCCAGGAGCTGTGTGCCTACTGAGACTGACATGGCCGGAAGTAGAGTACAAAGAGCCAGAGTCTCAGGAGGAAGCTCAGTTAGGAATGCTAACACCACCATCGCCTGAGGTTGCAAAGATTTAACAGGGGCTTAAAGGTAACTGATGGTAGGTGTGGGCTATAATCAGTGGCACCATGCAGTAGAGATCCAATACACTGTGTCCACCCTGTGGAAGCTCAGAGACTATGTGGGGAGCCCCTCATTCACACATCCTTAAAGGACCATGCAGACAGGTGGAAGACTATGGCAAAACTACTGGAATAGAAGTCAGGGCAGTCTTAAAGCTGTTGGGCTTTGAAGGAGTTCCCTAAATCATGTTGATGGCAAAGATCCATCAGGAAAGGGCCAAAGCCTGACTGGCTTCAGATGTCTCAGCATCACCCTATTAGTCCTTGATTCACTGATGTTTGTTGTGTTGACACTGATGTAACACACAGTCTTGGAAATAGACACAAGGGGTAAGTCATACTGAACAGCAACATCAGTTGGAATATACAATTGGGAAGAGGAACTCTCTAGAAAGAGTTCAAGTAAATCATAAACAGACACAAGTAACCATCCCTTCCCTGAAACAAAACCCCGAACACTCCAGATGCTGGGTTGGAGCGATAGCACAGCAGGTAGGGCGTTTGCCTTGCATGCGACCGACCCGGATTCGATTCCCAGCATCCCATATGGTCCCCTGAGCACTGCCAGAGATAATTCCTGAGTGCAGAGCCAGGTGTGACCCAAAAACAAAACAAAACAAAACAAAACACAGATGCTATGATATGTACCTTAAGAGTTAAGAATCCAAGAAGCCAACAGAAAGAACAGAAGGAATGTAACCATGCATGGGGGTGGAGGTAGGGTGAGAACAATCACTGCAAATGGTCTGACATGTTGGGTTGGACATACACGGTCAGGGACTGGAGCAATAGCACAGTGGGTAGGGCGTTTGCCTTGCACGTAGCCAACCCAGTTTCAGTTCTAGCATCCTGTATGGTCCCCTGAGCACTGCCAGGAGTAATTCTTGAGTGCAGGAGTCAGGAGTAACTCCTGTTCATCGCCGGGTGTGACCCAAAAAGCAAAAAAAAAAAAACCCAAACAAACCCACACATAGTCATTGAAGCAGCTAAAACAATTATGTGCAAAGAATCTAAAGTGACTGGGGCAGTAATACAGTGGGTAGGATGTTTTCTTTACACACAGCTGATCCAAGTTCAATCCCCAGAACCCTGAGCCCAGCTGGAAATGATCCCTAACTTCAGGGTCAAGAGTAAGACCTGAACACTACTGCTGTGATCCCAAAATAAAAAACAACAACAAAAAACAAGTATGGTGAGAATAACTCATCAACTAGAGGGTATCAGTAA